TCTGGGTTTGTCAATGGATGTCAAACACAGGGTGATACATTTGTCAACCTTTGAATTTCAACGTGTAATGTATGTGTTTGTGTATGTGTGCTCATTACTTGCAGCTCCTGTCTAACCCCAGTGATAAAGAAGAAGGCGAAGCCCGCGCTCAGTTGTTGAAGTCGGATGAGGCTTGGCGCCTGCGTTCCCAAGCACAGTCTGCCTTTCTTGAGAACGATTACTACACTGCTATCAATCTCTTGGATAAAATTCTAGAAGTAAGTCCCAGAGTGAAAATTGATGCCAAGATGTAAGCATGGTTACGACTTTTGAATTCTTCTTTAAATCTTGAATTCAAAGTTCCAAACCAATCTACTTTGGAATCACAGCAACATTCAGGTAAGTATACTTTTTTCACCAGATGCTTGTAAACTAGATTTTCCCTCATGGGGCAGAGTTTCAGTTTTGCTACCCAGCTGAATAGTAGCACATAGCTCAACTTGCCTGATTTTCAACGCTAAGTACAATTGGACCTGATTAGATGAGAGATTCCTAGGATATCTTGGAGCTGTAGCCTGGACTGGGAAGTTGAAGAAACATCCTGGAAGAAGGCAGTGGCAAGCAATTTCTTTACCATTGCCACAAAAATTTACAAATGTATTCATGAAATCCTCTGGAGTGAACCTCCTTTTGTTCGTTTGTTATCTTATCAGGTTAATCTAACCGCACAGTTTCCAAAAATTGTGTTGGAACATGCTGCTCCAATTGTGTAGAAATAGTTATCCAATTCTTAAAGTATGTATGGCATTGTGTAGCTTATTGCTTCATTTTAGGTGGGAGAGTCATTCTGAATAAGTACAAGTAGGATTAAAATCTCCTTTCGTTTTGGTTTCTCAAGGTTTGCGTTTGGGATGCGGATATGCGGGAACTTCGAGCTGAAAGCTACATTAAGGAAGGGGAGCCTGGGAAGGCTATCAGTGACTTAAAGGCTGCTGCCAAATTGAAGAGCGATAATACCGAAGCTTTTTATAAAATCAGCACAATATACTATGAACTAGGGGACCATGAAATGTCTCTAAGGTAAATGCTAGTATTATCTGTGGGGAGAAGCAAAAAAATATTTAGAATTTTAGAAAATCTGCGCTGAATGGAAAGACTCCTTGCCAAAATGAAGGATAGGTTATTTGGGGGGGGGGGAACATGGCTGTGGAGTTCTCCCAGGCTTCCAATTTCCTCTCTTTTTTCCCCATGGGAGGGAAAAGTTCCAGAATGAGCTGGAGGAGAAAGAAGTGTTCAGTGTATTTCCATACCACTACTTTATGCCAGGTTTTAAGGTGGACTGTACCAGGGGTAGGCAACCTTGGCTCTTTTATGACCCGTGGACTTCAACTCCCAGAATTCCTGAGCCAGCCACGCTGAGGGGAAAGGGAGAGGTTTCCAAGCTGAGCCATGCTGGCTGAGGAATTCTGGGAGTTGAAGTCCACGGGTCATAAAAGAGCCAAGGTTGCCTACCCCTGGACTATACAATACTAAAGGACCAAAGCAAATCCTGAAGCTAAGATGCACCACAAAAAATAAGTTTCTGTGTTCGCTCAAAATCCGAATTTATGCTTTTTTCCCTCCCTCTGCATTTCAGAGTATTCCTTTCTCAGGGAAACCCAAATTCTGTTCCCTTATTATTAAACAGTAGTTGACAAGAGAGAGAGAACTAAGCAAAGAGTGTACAATGTTATGAATTAATTAATGAATTAATCCATCACTACTAATAAAATGAATGTAATCTGCCCAAATTGATAACCGTGTGATTCTTCCTTCAAGGAAAGTAGATACAAAAAAATATGTTCTTTTTTTCAATAGCCCACCCATAAAAATGACTCTTCTTCAAATGATAATGAATTATAAAGATATAAAATCATAAATGTAATTAAATTCTATTGATTTTATTACTGCAAGTAATAAGTCTTAGCTCTGAACGGCTGAATAATTTAGAGATTATTGCTAACTTTTTTTAACAGCATCAGTTGATTTTGTGTTTCTTTTCTGCTAATACTAGAGGAAAGCTCTCTGTATGTGTGTGTGCGTGCATGTGTGTGTATAATTTGCGTGCAAGAGGTGACAGCAATAATACTGGACATGTAACAATTGAGCTCTATGAAAAGGGCCAATAATTTTAGATCTTTGATTGATTCCAGGCAGTGTACTATATATACAATTGGTATTTTCTTATTTATATTAAAGAATTGGGGAAATTACTAATTCTTCTGTATAAATGCTCTCACTTTGCAGCTTCTCCGGACTGTATATTCTGAAATTCCTTTAATAAACTTTCTAGAGTGGATGGAGATATTTCTTGGAAGTTTTTCTCAGATGTCTTCGAGCAGGAGAATGCAGTTCCCAGTCCCCATGACTAACTATTTAGTATAAAAAAATGTAATCAGCAATAGCATGTGAAGGCCTTTACATTTTGTTACATTTCTCCATGCATCTGATGCAGAGGTGATTAATATCCCTATTTCTCTGCAGAGGAAGTGAACCGAGGGGAATGGGTCTTTTGCAAACAGGCTAGGAGCCAAAGACTGTGCTCTGGGTGTTTTAACACTACTATCTTGATCCCACAACCCAATTCTCTCTCTCCCTTGTTGTTTCCTGTGTGCAAAGTGAAGTGCGGGAATGTCTGAAATTGGACCAAGACCATAAGGAGTGCTTTTCTCACTACAAGCGAGTAAAGAAGCTCAATAAGCAGATTGTTTCAGCAGAAGACCTCATCCAGGAAAGAAGGTGAGTATAGTAGTAGTAGTAGTAGTAGTAGTAGTAGTAGTAGTAGTAGTAGTAAGAAGTTGAGTATAGTAGTAGTAGTAGTAAGAAGGTGAGTATAGTAGTAGTTGTAGTAGTAGTAATAGTAATAATAATAATAATAATAATAATAATAATAATAATAATAATAATAATAATAATAATAATAATAATAATAAAGTTGGAAGGAACCTTGGAGGTCATCTAGTCCAACCCCCTGCTCAGGCAGTCATCTGTTTTGTGATTTTGTTTTCTTGCTTGAGTTTCTTCTCCATGGCTCTTTACACAGATCACCTTGCCAGTTCAGGAGTGTCTGCTCTGTATTACCATATCCCCAACAGATAGCCATCCAGCCTCTGGTTAAAAAGACTAGGATGAAGGAGAGTCCATCACCTCCCAAGGCAGATTTTTTTCTGTTGTCTAGCCATAATTTACTTCCTTATAATTTAAGCTCCTTGCTCTGTCTTTAAACAACACTGTACATTTCTACAGATGTTGATGGAGCATTTGGTCTGGCCTTAAATTTTATTTTTTTTCCCATCCCAAAGATGTCTTCAAGGCTTTAGCAAATCTTTTTCATAAATCCAGTAAAAAGTCATCCCAGATCATTCTCCTGGTTTATTATTTGTATGTCCTCTTTGATTTTCAGAAGTTTAACTAACTTTTTTTGGTATCTCTGGTAGAAAATCTTACCAAGGTCATTGTCTTGGCTTCTCATTTGTATTTCCACTTTAATTGTCTTTTCTGTTTTGTAGTTCATACTTTTTAAAAACATCCAATATTTTTGGTTCTACTATTTCTTTATTGGGTAAAAATTGCTTCATGTATGTCATTCTTTCATTAACATCTTTTAGACATAGTCTATCCACAGAAGCCAACATCGTTGCAAACATTGTAACTAATTTCTGGCCCCATTCTTTGCAAATCTGAAGTATTTCAGTTATTATAACAATTTGTATTATTTTGTAGATCCCTGTACTAACCCACAACCAAAAGCAAGTTTACACTTTTTCTTTTCCTTTTCTGCCTGGAATCTTTAGTCCCCTCTGGTATCCAATTGTATAATGAGAAAATCTTTAAATCTCTGTTATAACTTAAGATAGACAAAACAATTTGGTTCCTGAAAAAAGCGGTTTATTTAATTATTTTCAAAATCTTACAGTAAATGTCTCAATATTCCAAATTTGTCTAGATCCTTTATAAACTTTCTAGATTAAATTTGTATTTAGCTTTTTGCTGTTTATTTCCAATTCTTTAATTGGAACCCAACATCCATTGAAAGGACATGGTTGTGAGCATGATGGCTCATCCCAATTACTTCTCAGAGAAGCAGCTTTTGCTCCAAGAATTTGTAATGTCATGGTTTGTGGCAAGGGCACAGTCTCCATCTGATCTGCAGGAGTTTCTGCAACTCCTGCATCTTTCAGTAATCAGCAATATTGAAAACTAATGGAACAATTTCCTGCCATTTTCCCAACTCTCTGAAAACCAGTTGGTAAAATATGGTGTCTGTATCATTATTTCAGTCTAAAATGGAGCACTGGTGTATTTACCTTGCCCTTTGTAAAATACAGGACAATATAATTTGTTTTCCTAAATTTAATAAATGGAAATATATACTGTTTGCTGATTTTCTTTCTTAATGTCAATAGGTATCAGGAAGCCACTGAGAAGTATGAGGCAGTTATGAAGATGGAGACAAATATTCCTGTTTACACTACTCGAGCCAAAGAGAGAATCTGTCATTGCCTTTCAAAGGTAAACATTCAGTTCACTGGGCAAAACAATTGAGAACATCATGACTTGCTGCTCCATCTTATTGTCCTTATTGGTCCATCTCACTTTTCTCAGAATCAACAGTCGACAGAAGCCATTAAAGTTTGCACTGAAGTTCTGCAGCTAGAGCCAGAAAATGTGAATGCCCTCAAAGATCGGGCGGAAGCATACTTGCTAGAAGAAATGTATGAAGAAGGTACACTTTGAAGGATAATAAACGTACTTATGGGGTGTCCAGCTTACCTGTGAGTTTATCAGTACAGAGTAATTTGGATTATTTATTGACATTATACTGAGCAAATCAGACTAGGAACTAGGGAAATGTAATATCTTCCATTCTGGGGAAAGATTTTTCGTTAAGATCATATTGATCCAGCTGTTCAAGGGTTGTAGTTTTCAGAAAGCAAATCTTCTGGAACAGGAAGTGGTTTGGGATACTCTGGATGTGGTTCAGAAGGAGCCAGTTAATAAGTAGGCATGGACAAAATATTGGGATGACATCTCAAAGTGCAACTGTAGTTAAATTTTCGATTTGGGAATTATCTTTATGCAAACCATGTGGACTTAAGTGACAGACCCTTCAAAGCCAAATATACAGCTCCTTCCAAGTTAAAGTCTACACTGGAGTTCCATCAGATGGTGGGTTTTTTTTACTAGCTTATATAGGTTCTCAAGCACATCCGCTTCCGATTTCAGAAGAGGTACACAAAAATATGGAATGCCTCCGCACCAATCTTCTGATAACGGCCACCAAATTACGTGTGTAATTTGTTTTCCCCTTAAATGGTGAAGCTGTTTGTCGTCTAATTTGGGACTCCATTCTGGAGGTTTCAATTAAAAAAATAATCACTAAAATAAGGTTAGATGCTGCAAATTTTATAAATCAGTGGTCCCCAACCTTTATGGCTTGGGGAGGAGAGAGGATGATTCTGTGTGAATGGCAGGCGTGCGTGTGCCCAGCTCCTTTGCACAGGCACGAGCATCTGCCACTCATGCAACTGCCTGCCATTTGCACAAATGGAGCTTCGTACGTGAGTGCGAGAACCCATCACTCACACAAATGGAGCTGCCTACAAGTGCTTGCTAGACGTGCGCAACCTGGTTCCAAACAGGTTGGGGCCCCCTCTTATAAATCATCTAATTTTCTGATAAATCTAACAACTACACGGCATTGATTGTGTCATTAGGTCTGCGTGTAACGATCTGCATGCAACCATCAGCTAAGATGTATTAGAGTGGGTGGAAGAAGTAATGCTTCCACAGATACTCATTCATTACCAAGTTTTAACTTTCAAAGAACCAGTGAAGTGATCTTGCCTATATTGCTGTTTTTTTGGTGGAAAAGTCCACAACTTTCCTTTTCCAGCTTAAATATCACTATAAGTTTATAGGATGGGCAATAAGAGCCATCTCCTGCTGACTTTCGAAGCGAATAATATTCAATTTTTAATGTTCTGGCTGCTCTCAGTCAAAATAGTTCAATGGTACAACACAGTAGACTGGCTAGCAAAAATAAAAGAGAAGACAGACTTCTGTTTTGTTTGCAGATGAATATTTTTAAATCACTGGAGCATCAGAAATATTTTCACAATATTTTATAAAAAGGGATTGGACACAACCACCGAATAAATGGTATAAATTGGACCCTGTCTCCTGCTATTGTGCCTAGAAATAACAAAAAGATATATGTAATGCCTACTGAGAGAACAGCTGCTAAAAGATGATTTGTTATTTTATCTTAGCAGAATTGGATATCTTTAGATCCATAACGAGGTGTTCCAAAATTAGAAACCAAAATCCCAAAAAAGACTCATTACATGGGAAATGCAAAGTAGACTGTGGTGAAGGATGCTAAAATAGAGGTGGAAGCATTTCCTTTATTGTTACGTGACAGGATAAAGATTCTTTGTTTTCTTTTATCAGATTTTAAATAAATGCCATTTGAAATCTGGCTAGGCTGGAAATGAATTACTGTATTGCAACTATCTAAATAAAACTCTGTTGTCTTTATGATAGCTATCCAGGACTATGAAACTGCTAAAAAACACAGTGATAATGACCAACAGATTCTGGAAAGTCTTGAGAAAGCCCAGCGGATGCTCAAGCAATCTCAAAAGAGGGACTACTATAAAATTTTAGGAGTTAAAAGGTAAGCATTTAGCAATGGACAAGCACTTATAGTTTGCGTAAATGCTGCTTTTTCTTCAAGAGGCTATAGAAGTAGTCCTCTATTTAAAGTGGCAGTTGGGACAGGAATTCACTAAGCGACGGGGGTATAAAATGCCAAATCACATTGCCATGCTGTTTTGTGACAGCAGTTGAGGCAGTCCCACTTGCAGCAAATAAGTGAGGACCTCACATGACTACAACTTCCAGCTTCCAATTCCTGGCCAGCTTCCCCACTGACTTTGTGGGAAGCCAGCAGGGAATGTTGGAAATCACAATCACATGACTGGGGAGATGCTGGAACTTGAAGGACTGGTCATAGCTACCAATCATTTAGCACTTTTGTAGGTTTCAATGGTCGCTGAAATGAGTGGTCTCTAAATGATGCATTACCCTCTTACAAAGCCTGTAAGAAAGAGTTTCTCAAAACTATCTTTAGGAAGTTCTGTACTTAGAAGGAAACTTGCAAACACAACATAACAGCAATAGCACTTAGACTTATATACCGCTTCACAGGGCTTTACAGCACTCTCTAAGCGGTTTACAGAGTCAGCATATTGCCCCCAACAATCTGGGTCCTCATTTTACTGACCTCGGAAGGGTGGAAAACTGAGTCAATCTTGAGCCGGTGAGACTCGAACTGTCAAACTGCAGGCAGCTGGCACTCAGCAGAATTAGCCTGCAATACTGCATTCTAACCACTGTGCCACCATGGCTCATACCGTGTTTCCCTGAAAATAAGACCGGATCTTATTTTAATTGTTGCTCCAAAATATGTATTAGGGCTTATTTTCCAGGTAGGGCTTGAAGGGAATTGAGCATCCTGGGCACAGGGAGTCATCATTCTGCATATTTCCCTGTGAAACAGAAGTTAAGCCATATAATAGAAGATGATGCCTGCAAAGAGGACAGCCAAAATATCTGTGAATTCCCATCTATTGACGGGTCTTGGCTTCTTCCAGATGTTCTTTCCAGAATTCCAAGTTCTGTTCAGTGTTAGTGAAAAATCCTATGTGGGATTGCTTTGAATCCACGGAGAAGATGATTTTTATTAAATCTTTTGACTTGAGATATTTTCTAACTTTTTTTTAAAAAAAAAAAAACTTTTAAAAAAGTTTTTTATTTATAATACAGTTAAAACAAAAATGGACATAACGTAACATTCCAGTGTACCTATTTCTAACAATTTGTTCCTCTTCATACATATAGTTCTTAATCTCTATATATACATACATCTTTTTCTATACAATACAATATCTAATTTATTTCTATATATACTAACATACAATTATATATATTTCTATCTTAACACTAGCTTATAACCCGAACAGTCCCCCTTGATTCACACCAGTAATAAAATTTGTCCCAGATTTCAAAATAATCTGACTCTCTCTGTCTTGTCCTTCATTTCCATTGTGAGCCTGTCCATATCGGCACACGATAAAATTTTGTATAAAATCTCTTCTTCTGTTGGAGTTTCTTTATTCCTCCAATTTTGTGCATACGCCAATCTAGCAGCTGTGAAAATGTGTAACATCAGGTAAAATATCCCTTTATCGTATTTCTATGTAGTTATGCCTAATAGCAAGTGTTCTGGTTTAAGCTCTATATCATTAATATTTCTTCCAAAAATCACAAGCTTTTGAGCACTCCCACCACATATGGTAATAGGTCCCTATTGCCAATTTACATTTCCAGCATATAGATGAAAAATTTGGAGCCATTTTAGCTAACCTTGTGGGTGAGATATTTTCTAACTTTTAAGGAGTAAGATGGTCATATATTTAATGGCCTTGTTGAAAAGTCTCCAGCATTTCTGTTTGCATGTTTCACGTGCCCTTCTCAGAGCAGCTGGTTCGCTGTTCTGTAGAAGCAGCATTGGGGAGCCCCTGTGGTTCTTGGCAAGAAATGAGGCGAATTAGGGGGGCCCAGGTATACCATAGCTTGGCCAAAGTCAGATTGCTGCAAGCAGAACCCATTCAAGCAGGATCTGTCCATTCCTTCATGTTGGTTCGCATAGAAGCTTAACTTAGTTTGTGAGCCATTGCTTAACTTCTCTTCATGCTGAGATCATTATTATTATTTATTATGCAGGTAGTCCTTGACTTAACAATAGTTCATTTAATGACCTTTCGAAGTTACGATGGGATTGAAAAAAATGACTTATGACTGTTTTTCAGACTTATGACCGTTGCAGCATCCCCAAGGTCATAATGATCAAAATTCAGACGCTTGGCAACTGACTCATATTTATGACGGTTGCAGTGTCCCAGGATCACGCGATCACCTTTTTATGACCTTCTGACAAGCAGAGTCAGTGGGGAAGCCAGATTGACTTAACAACTGTGTTAACTAACTTAATAATTTCAGTAATTCACTTAATAACCTTGGCAAGAAAAGTCGTAAATGGGTCAAAACTCATTTAACAAATGTTTCACTAAACAACAGAAATGTTGGGCTCAATTGTGGTCGTAAGTCGAGGACTACCTGTATGTGATTTTGTTATTTATTTATTATACTATTTATGTGTGTGTGTGTGTATAAACTTATTGGGCATTTATCACTCACACACACACACACACACACACACACACACGTATACATACTGTATATTTGATAATAAATACCCAATATATATATATGGTGTGTGAAAAACACACCTTTAAGTGTCACAGTTCAAACTGCAAAAGATAAAATTAGGATACAGGTAGTCCTTGTTCAGCAATTGTAGTTGGGACCAGCAACTTGGTCATTAAGCAACACTTGACTGAGCTTACAGTCTTGCTGTAGCTTTCCTTTACTTTGCAAACCTACGAATGTCACAAATGCAAGGATTGGTGGCCAAGTTATGTTTTCATTACTGTCATAACTGCAATTGGTCATTAAACAAGACTGAGTTAGCAAAATGTTGTATACAATTTTGCAGCTCCGCGTCACAGTATAAGATGCGGCAGCTCTGCTCCCGAGGCCCTGCTCTGATTCATGGGCCTCCCTTGCTTGGTTATTGCTTGCCAGCCCTTGGTAGACTGATGGAATTGTTCTATATGGCACATGGGAATTATTTGAAGGACCTGCAGCTTAACTTGCTGCCTTCTGTTGTTCCTTTGTTTAATGAGAGAAGTATTTTCTTTGGGAAAAACAAAGTGGAAAAGGATTCTTCTGGGAAATGTTATCTTGCCTGGATTTATGCAAGTCTCTACTTTTTAATTTAAAAATCTTACCATGGAATGAAGAGATAATTTCAGGTTATTTCTTATATTTCTGACAGGAATGCCAGAAAACAGGAAATCATAAAAGCCTACAGGAAACTGGCAATGCAGTGGCATCCAGATAATTTTCAGGATGAAGAAGAGAAGAAGAAAGCAGAGAAAAAATTTATTGATATTGCAGCTGCCAAAGAAGTCCTCACAGATCCAGGTAGATAGATGTATAGTTTGTCTGCTTCCTTACTTTCCGAAAAAGAAGTGAGCCAGTTGGATTGTTTTTCACTTCACCTTGTAGACCAATCAACATTCATTTTCCTTCGGTGTCCAGTGCTTGTTATTTCAGTGTTGAAGGAACTCAGCTGATATATGGGCCAGAAAGCTTGATAAATGGCTTATACAGTGAAGTAAAATAATAGCATTTTTACTGTTAGCTGCACATCCAACCTTCTGTGCTTTAGAGCTATCCTTGAGATTTTTTTTAACAGGCAATAGTTCAGAGCTTTTTGCTTAAAACTCATCCACAGTGATTCTCCCTCTGACATTTTGTTTAAAACTATTACATTTAAGTTCTAAGCCATGTTCACAAAATATGCTTAACCTAATGGCTACATTGGCACAATAACTGAAGCTTGGTGAGTGTTAACCAAGCTTCGTGTTCATGAGTGTTCCATGTGTTGTGTAAATCCAACAATATAGTTAACCTCAGTAACAGATTAAGCAGCCATTGAAAATCAGCCACAATGATTTGTGAGAAGTGAATTTGGGGGCTGGGTGGTTCCAGGAGTACAGGTGACCCTGATTATTGTGACCCCAGGTTTCAGCTGGTGACTGGTTCATCTGGATTTGGAAATTAAGCAGGCGGCTATAGATAGCTCTCGCTTAGTGACCAAAACCGGGACTGGCAATTCTGTTCCTAAGTGCCACTGTTTATAAGTGGAGCACAATGGGCGTATAACCTCAATTTGCATTTAGTTGTTAAGTGAATCACCTAGGTCAGTGATGGTGAACCTTTTAGACACTGAGTGCCCAACCCCCAGCCCACAGGGCCACCTGCTGCCTCCACGGCCCGCTGCAGCAGATCGCCCAGGCAGCCCTGCAGCGCCATGGTGGCCATGCCCTCTACCCACGCCCCGTAGCATCATCTGCGCATGACAGGGCGCGAGGGCGGAGTCTTGTCCCTGCTGCCTGGTTGCCATGTCCTTGGCTGCGCTGCTCTGTGCGGACTGCGTCCAGGGGCCTCTCCTCTGGGGGGGGGCTGCTGGTAAGGGCCACGGGGGAGGTGGGGCTGGAGCAAAGGCACGTGTGCCCACAGAGAGGGCTCTGCATGCCGCCTCTGGCACACGTGCCATAGGTTCGCCACCACTCACCTAGGTCATTAAGTGAGATGTCATATGACTGCAACTTGAGATTTTACCACTGTGTTCTCCATTAACCCTGCTTGTGGGAAGCCGGTTGTAAAGCAGACAAATGATGATCATGTGACTTGGAATGCTGCAGTCATCAAAAATAGTCCCAAGCTGGTTTTTTATACCATTGTAAGAGCAGTTGCTAAATGAGATATTTGGTAAATGAGAACTACTTTTGAACCTTAGTACAAATAACTACCTTAGTACTGAGATGGCAACTATTGGGTTGCAGGTTGGGAAGTTGTAAAATGTTGTGTGAGAAACCAGCAGCAACTGGTTGTGATATTTTATGACTGTCCACGTCATCAGTAGGATTTGAATTTGACTTGAAGGTGACTTTAGCCTTTGTTTATGAAAATAACTGATTTGCATCAATTTCCCAAATTTAAAAAGGGATGGAGATATGTACTGAACTGAGTCAGAGAAATAACTGATTTTGCACATTTTATAAAATACTAACATGGGACCAGCTGTATAAGGGACATGATGGAAACTATGCCTTCGTTCAGTACAAAATGCTACCATTTGTGGCAAAGAAGATCTAATAACTCAGCTGCCTTTGACCCTGCTAATCAATGGTGTCTCTAGTGTTGGGGCATCCCATCCTCTGAATAGTTTCTAGGGAGGGAGCCCTTGTCTTAATAAATACTCTCTTAGAAATGATTGTGGAATTTAGGTACTCGTGAAGGCCAGCTGGGGAAAAAATGGAAAAATAATTTCTAACTGATATTGTGAAAAATCCACATAGCAATGTTAATAATTTGTCTTATCGCAATAATTTTTGCCAGTTTGGTCAAAAAAAATTATCTTTACAAGCTCTAAACTTTCTCATGGGTTTTTTTTTTGGGGGGGGGGAGAAGATAAAATCTATTTATTCTGAATAAGTATGTTGCCTTTTGGAGAAAATTATTATGTGTGAGGAGCAAGCAAATTCCAAAATATTTTGCCACCTCTTTTTTTTAGGAGTGCAGTTATGCCCATACTTGCACCATTGCTTTTTACTTATTTGTTCATTGTTGGTAGTTGATGCCGTAGTGGCTTTCTAATCAAAAGCTTTGGATGAAAGCTTACGGAGTTCAGATTCAGCTGATCACCATCTTTGTATCTTTTTAGAAATGCGGAGGAAGTTTGATGCAGGAGAAGACCCACTGGATGCTGAGAGTCAGCAAGGTGGAGGGCATCCTTTTCACCGATCCTGGAATTCCTGGCAAGGATTCGACCCCTTCAGTTCTGGAGGACCTTTCCAGTTTAAATTCCATTTCAATTAGAACTGCTATATTCTTTTCATTTTTTTTCCTTTTGCATATGGCAATCTGCATTTTTTCTAGATAACTTAAAATTACGGTCTAGTCTTTGAACATTAATGAGAGCCAGTTTTTTGGTGATAGTTCAAAAGGGATAGCAAATCCAGCCATATCAATAATACCAATCTGTTTGATAGTTTGGGGCATCAAAGCTCCACCTCAAGACAAACCCATGTTTGAAAAGAAACTGACTCAAGAAAGCACTTTAAAAGTTTACTAAACCATTTGAAATAACTTGAAATAACAAAACAAAATTTACTCCATCTTTAGTTACCACAAGAGGAAATGCTGAAGCCTCAACTGACTGTTGGAAGTATTACACATCTGCAGTATATGATCGTTTAGATCGTCCAGACGTTGGTCACTGCAGCCAGCTTGTAGACAGTTTAAGTTGTTCTAATCAATGTTACAAGGACAATTTTCTCTGATTAAAATCTCTCCTTCTGGTTGCTTCTAAAGAATTAAATAGAATTAAATTTTTAGCAGGTGGTAGAGAACCATTTTCCACTGAAAATTTGCTTGACATTTGAGCAGGACTGAGATATTGCCCATAATAAGTAGGACTTTGTTCTGCTCTTGAAGATTTTTTTTAAAGGGTGGTAGATGACTATGTTGATCATCTTCACAACTATTATATGCATGTCTGTGGTTGCATAGACTAATAACTCACGGAGCCGATTGAAAGTATTTTCCTGCAACTGAAATCTGATATTATGAATGGTATTCAGAATGGAGCCTGGAGTCATCTTGGGATGTAATATTGAACTTGCCTTTCTTTCACATCCATTTTTTCCCCCAAGAACGCTGTTTTGAACACTTAACAAAATGATACTCATCTTTCCCCTTGCTTACTCTCATTAATAACATATGTACGGCCCAGTCTATTTCAGCGCAAGCCTCAAACATCTGAAAAATAAGAGTGGTTGAATCTCCCTAGCTTTTGTGTGTAACATTCCATTCTTTAGGAATGATTTGGAAATGATTTGGATTCATTTCAAAATGTGCCACTATATGGACGCTTGTTGAGTGAGCATTCAGACATAAACCAGGACCCACAAAGTGCTTTTAATGTTACTCTCCTCAAGAATGACTCCAGAAATGCTGGGAAGGATAGATGTTATCTATTAACAAATCATCCTTATGTTTTGGACAGCTATAAAGGACCGCATAAAGTGCCATTGTTAGAATGGGGGTTGAGGGAAAGACAGCCCTTCGCTTTCTTGGACCAAATCCTGTGAGTCCTCAATTGAACAGGACGTGGTTTGGGCAGCATTGAGGTTGCCAGAACTGAGAGACGCCATCAGGCCTGCACATGGATTGACCCAAAGGTTCGGCGGTGCTTCTGGGTCAATTGAAATAAAACATTGCCTTGGAAGTGTTGCTCTAATAAAGCTCTGGGAGGGGTTGAAAGGGGGAAGATAAAAGTCTATGAAAACTATGATGCTCTTCTGAAGGTAAAGAAATACTAAATAGTATTCAGCAGTAGCACAGAGTTGTTTTAATTGCTTTAAATCCTCAGTCAGGAAGTCTTTTGAGGGTTTTATGGCTGTATTGGGGGTGGGAGGGATAGGACAAGTTGAATTCTGAAGTTAACAATTGTGTCAAATCTTAAATTGTTTCTACTCCAAGTAATGAATAGAAATTGCTTTGTTATGCTGTTTTTAGTGATTCTGAGTAGATTTGGTGGAAATTAGAAAAAAACGAACTTATTTCATTCCTTTTGAAATTAAAGAAGCAATTTAAAAGGCAGTTACCAATTGCTACCGAAAAGTATCCATGGAATTAAATGCCTCAAATGTGAAAAAAAAATGGGAACTTTGCCTTTTCAAAATAGCTTTACTTAAACAGTATATTTTAAGACCTCAAAGATTAAGAATGATGGTTTTCAACAGCTGAGGGTAAAAAAAATACGGGTTATTGTTATTCTTTTCCCTAGGAAAGAAAACAGGTTTTAATTTGAAGGAAGTAAATTTTGATTGGAGAGCAGGAAAAATATCCTTAAAAAGCAAGCTGTTTAACAGTGGAACAGGCTCCCTTGGAAAATGATGCTGTCTCTCCTCTGCAGGTTTTTAAACAAAAACTAGAGATCCATTTGTGGTGGTTGACAAGATGGTGCAAGATGATCTCCAAGGATCATATTATATGAGTTGATTCATTCTCAGTTTTTTTCCCTTGGCAGTGATCTTACATGTATTTATTTTATTTATGTTAATCCGTAGACCATGCTACCAAATTAACAGCTACCTACAATCTGGAATAGTCTACAGCACGGGTGTCAAACTTGATTGCGTCACATGACGTATCGTGACTTTTTTTGCCTTTGCGGAGCTGGGGTGGGTGTGGCCTGCACGTGACGCATCCGGCCCACAGGCTGCCATTTTGACACTTCTGGTCTACAGTCATGACTGTACTTTTATAAACTCCAGTTGTAATATCTTACTGGGTTCCAGTTGGTAGCCTATGAGGATATTGTAAATAGTTCAGATTATGAAGATAAATATCTAAGGATAGATAGAAATTGGCTGAAATCCCTAATAATCACTAACTTATTTGAGTTTTTGGCATCTTTATTCAAACCTTCAGAAGATTTGGTGAACCCTTAAGACTACAGTCACATTTTTTAAAAAAACTGACAACATTTAAGGCATCCTCTAATTGTCATAGTGGTCTACAAAAGCTTTCGGTGAGAAAGTCCACATAAAGGAAAACCTGAGAAATTGGTGGAAATAGCCCAATGGACTATTTGCACCTAGGATTGAACTCAACATGCACATCAAGCAACAACTTTATGAGGAGAAAGTCATGAGAAAGAAGGTTCAAGTGTTTTAAAATACAAGTCTCCCCATCCTTTATTCTTCTCAAATGAAGGAAAGATAGCCACACTAGAAACCAGGTCAGAGTTGATCTAGCCATCCAAGTTTACTCTGCTTTAATAAGTTGACACAAGGAATTAGACTTTGGCCTTTTGCGCAGTTTTCAGCGACAAATATGCAACTAATGGTAATTTAGAAATGGGAAAACCGTATACTTGCAAAATAAATATTTCCGGTATGAAATTAGGACATCTATGGCCTGTCTTAACAAATAGGAGAAAAATTGTTTTAGTGGCTGGAACGTAGAATGCCAGTTTTGTTCATAATTACAGTAAATTCAAATTGAAGCGAATCCATAAAAAAACCATAAATCTTAATATTTCTTTTTAAACTTTACTAATTTGAAATCCAGAAGCTATTTTGTGGCGGTGTGGTTTTATATTAAATTGGTGGCCTTAGTGTACATTTCATCTTCTCATTGTGTCTGAAATCTGAAGTTTAAAATTCTGTTTTATCAAAGCCAGTTACATATAATTATCAAAATAATGATTGCCTCTCTTAGTGGGAGAGTGTTTGGAACCCACTCTTCTCTATATTGAACAGCAATGAGACCAAAGTAATACTAAATATTTACTAGGAGGTGTACTAGAACATCTCAGTCCTTCGCCCATTAATATATGATGTGACAATACATGGGAACCACTGCCAAGTCTCCCCCTTTACAGGAAGAGCAGTCAAAGTAGTAAACTTTCTCTTTTTTTAATCTAATTTTGTGGCCGGCTAACTGAAACCTGTTTATCTGTTTTATCATATTTTGCAGTGGGGGATTGTCATACTTGATTCCAAATGGATACTTTGTCTGATTGGAAAAAGATAACAGCTGCTTTAAAAGAAACAGATATACATTTTAGGTGTGTGCACACCAAAGCTTCTTTTCTGCATGGCCTTACTTTATACTAAGAATTAGCCAGCAAGCCAAGCTTGAAGCTCAAGGGCACAGTTTTTCAAAGGTGTTCTACAAAACTCGAGGAGAGATTAAAGGCAAATAAGAGTTAATCCAAACACATTGTTTTCAGTCATTAGAGCAGATATGTCAAACTCGCGACGTCATGTGACGTCGCGCAACGTATCGGAGCTTTTTCCCCATTGCCGGCAATGGGGTGGGCGCGGTTTCCTCGTGACACGCCCAGCCGGTGGGCCGGCAGTTTGACACCCCTGCATTAGAGCCTCTTGATCAGATGTTCTAGGAATTTTTTTTAGTTCACCTGTTCTGGGGCCTGAAAAGGGTTTGCAAGCCTCTTTATTCCCAAGATCATCAGTGAGCTAGCAAGGCTGAGATAGTTAAATACTTATTGAGGAAGATCCTTTAATCACAGGAAACACAAGACGCTAGGACAGGCTTCCTTGTTAATTGACATTTTTCATAATGGAGCAAATCAATGAGCATTCCAGAAGAATCAGTGATTTTTAATCATATTTATAGATATGCGTGAGACAGAATTAAGTTATCATGATCAATGTGTAATCTTTGAAGATTGGAGAATGCCTTAACCTAGTAAAGGACGCGGCTGCTTGATGTTTCTGTCCCACCTGCAAAGCTCCGGTAATCTGGGTTAACAGAAGCCTTGCATGATAAACTGCAGCGTCCAAACAATCTAAATATTTTAAAAGCAAAGCGATCAAGAACTGGTTTTGGGGTCCAAACTCCTCAGTTGTGAATCTATGACAAAGTTACATCCCTCTGAGTTGAAGGGCCACATTCTCATAGTATTTCTTCTGATTTTTTTTAATGCTATTTGCAGGTTGCAAAAAAATAATAATTACAGATCGCTATTTTATCATGGCAGGTTCCACTATGCAGAGCTAATGGGTTACTCCTGATGTCACCATTATTATCCGTAGCAGTCCCTGTCTGTTTGTTTCTAGCTTCGATAATATGAGGTAATATAGTCTATGGCAGAGGTCTCCAACTTTTCCAGTCTCACAGACCAGAAGGAGAGCAGCTTCAAAATTGGTGCACGTCCATACACAGGGCGACGCACACTGGTGCAGCATTAGCAGCCTGTTCGTGCAGGTGGCATGCGCTGGGACCGTGCGCATGCGCAAATGGCCACGCACCCCACATGGTGGCTAGCAGTGCATGTGCAAACAGGCTGCGGACACCCGCCCCCGCTAGCATCCCTGTTCATGCCCGCATGCATGTGCAAACGGGGCCGTGGGCACTAGCGCAAGTGGAATGCGCATCACACGTTCGCGCACCCACACGCGCAAAAGTCAAGCCATTTCCGTGGCCCGCAGGCAAGGCCATAGGTTGGGAACCCCTGGTCTGTGGCACAAGTTTGTTAAGGTTGCTTCCCTCCTTTCTATTATTTTTTGCAGATGGAAAATTTTGACCACAGTGAATACTGTATATCTGAATATTTTTTTCCATAATAGGAAAACTGGAACAGGATGCAGGACTCTCTTGGGGACAGGGAGGGGGTTCACTGAAATAGAATTTTCTGAAAGTGATGCAGGCTGAATAAAAAGTTTAATAAGTAATTTCAAGTACTGTCTTAAGTATTAAATATTGTTACAGAAACTCTTACAGGAAGTATTTTAAAATTTAAATACAGTACTGCATTAAGGGTTCCACTTATTTTCTGTAAAAAGGCACACACGTCATTTCCAAATACACTTTATTTACTGCGCATTTTTTACAGTCTGTTCGTTCCATGTTATGTGCAATGTAAAAATCATTTTTTTTAAAAAAAAATTGCACAAATACACAGTGTATCTCAATTACATTCATTAAAAGCAGTCTTTTGGTTTCTGTCTGTGGTCAGCATTGCCAAATATTCCTAAAGTTCATCATGCTTGGAGTCTGTAAAAGAATTTAATGTTATTAATTCTGAATGCACATCACTACAAAGCAAGACAATGTTAAAACTGACCAGTATTCTCTTTCTTAAAATCATTTTCTCACCACTCCCTCGATCACCTTTTTAACTGGGCCGCAAATATTAGTCTACGCTCATGACAAGCTGATTAGTAAGAGAATGGATGGCAATCAACCCAACCTTCCTTAATGAAGTCTTCCAGATGCATTGCAGTACAATTTACACGCTTCCTACCCAACCTGGCTTCCAGCATTATTATAACAAGTCAGAGTCTATTCTAGCAGTGTGTAAAACATCTTGAATCCCAAACTTTGAAATAGTTGGAAGCATGGAACCTTCTGGCATGGTTGGAACCTTTTTTTTTTTTTTTTAATAAAGTTGGAACTTTTTTATAAAGGGTATTTCAAATTTGGAATACTTTGGGCCCTACTAAAAATGCCTTGCTTGTTAATGATACAGAGCAGTTCAAAATGAGCTATGATTATGTAGCTACATTTCTGAATAGGACAGGTGATAGATTCAAAATTTTATGCATGAATCAATCAATAGAAGGAGCGGCGTGGTGGCCTAGTGGTGAAGATGCTCGCCCCCCCCCATTTGGAGTGGAAGATGTTTTTCTGTCTCAGGATCCCAAAGGGAAAATATCTGCTGTGAACTTCACATAGGCATCAGGCCAGTAAACACTGGCTCTATTCAGTTGCCCTGACTCTCCCAAATTAAGGGATTACAGTCATAAAAAGAAAAAAAAATCAACCCATAGAAGAATAAATTCAATCTCACAATTCTAGGCTTATTATCCATAGGATAGATTATACACAAAGGATAGGAATATACACAGACTGAAAAATTTCTGGATTATATTACATGATTATTCCAAAAATTCTAAAATCTAGTGTCTGGGAATTATAACTAACCACCAGAAAAACATTTTCAATTGCTTATGTCCCTACATTACCTTATATAGGAACGAAACCTTTCCTGGGAAATACAAGGATTCAAGTGGAATTTTTTTTTAACAAACAAAAAAAAGCAAATCCAATTTATTATTAACTTTATCACTTTAATGGTTACAAACTTGGACATCATTACGTTATACCTGACACTGATCAACAAACTTTTAAGTGTTGGCAAGAGGCCTATAAATTTGACTCCTGACCAATTTTTAAAAATCATTCTATTCTTCAACTGCTGAATGCAAAAGAAATCAGTGCCTCATCCATTGAGCTTCAGTGCCTCTTTAATCTCATAAGAAAAAGGAGGAAAAACATGGTGCACTGCTAGTCAGTTTACGGTATAAGGTATGTGCAGCATCATGTAGAGTGTTCAAGATGGTGTATAGACACCGCAAAGCAATTCCCCTCTGTACAAGGGTAGGGCTTGCTCTAAAGTCATGTCCATCATCTTGCAGAGTTTGACCCATCCTGTAATAGGCTGCATGTTTCTGTGGTCATTTTGCAAAAGGTCTGGGCTGCTGATACAAAAAAGGCATTTGAGTACTACAAAACACTTCTCCCTGAGCACAAATGCCAACCAAAAGGTGATGCATAACACCTTAGATTCTGACCGGGTGCTCTCCTTAAGAGCTGTGATCTTGTATAGCCCTGGCACTATGTTTCTGAGTGGGAAAAGGGGGGGGAGTCCCAGGTAAATATTTGATATACTCCACTAAGCCAGAGAAGAATTTTGAAACTATTTTAACAGAAGGTGAAAATGAATATAAATTAAGATTAGTGTTGCTCAACTGCACTTGTGGAGTGCCCACCCTCTTGAGTCCCACCAACTGCATAGGATTATGGAGACATTAGAGATCTCCATGTAATGTTACCTCTTCAAGGCAGATAAACAAAACCAATCAAGTCCTCTTCTCTTCCCAGAGCAATTTCATGAGCTACGGAAGTTTCTGCTTTGCCTCACCTTTTGGATGGAATGGAGTCCCGTTTGTCTTCTCGTTTCTGATACGATTTAACAGCTTCTGTATTTCAGAGTCATAATCTGTCCATTCAGGAACAATCCTGACAGCAGCTTCTAGCTTAGGTTCCTTAGTTTTTGGATTGTTGCACTGAAATATGTGAATGGAAAAAAGGCTTACCACGATTTAAAGTCCAAAACAAAACCCTATCACCACAAAAGAAAAATCACCGTGAAAAGAACCGTACATATATTAAAATGAAAACGGGTGAATTGTAAATGAGCTATATTATCAGAAATGTTGCATGCTACAGCCCCAGTGAGATGATTAGTCCAGAACGTAAAAAATCCCAAGTTAAGTCGATAATATTTCCATTTCTAGTGCTTCCAAATGACAGCCGAGAAAAGAAACAAACCAAATTTGTTTTCCAAGTTTGCTATCCTTGCTATCTCCCTGTTCTCCAACACAGGATTTAGACTATGACGGCTCTCCAATTTCTTGAACTAAACTAAAGTATGCACCATTTTTGTTGCCCACAGTAGTATTGCACAAAGGAACTGTGCTGACATACTGGCAACTATTATGCAAATGATTCTGGGGGAAAGTTCATATTAATATTTTATAGAGAATAACTTGTCATGCTTTCCAATTGCTACCCTATTAAGTTTCAGGAACATCTGAAAAGCATCTGTCTCCAGCTCTCAGGAACCCTAAGCCCCTCCATTCAAATTTTTTTTTTGGACTGGCTGCTTCCCAACTGTCAGGACTACAATTTACAAAAGGCAAGGAGATGAATCTGGAAGAAATCTTTGATAATTAAATTAATAAAATAGATAAGAAATAGAAGCAGCCAATATATCACACTTTATATTCTGTCCCTTAATATTACAATAATCTCTTTTTGTTATAAAATGGAAAGTATCCACAAAGCTACTGCTCAGTTAGCATCTTGCTATGGCTTAATGGCTAATATGTGGGTGATCAGGCTTTTCTTTTCTTCTTCCAAGCTATGGGGTATAAAGTACAATTGAAATATGGAACAGTAATTCAAGATGCTTTGTGAGATAAATCCTATTGCTGCAAATTCAGACAGGACCCACAACGTACCACAATTTTATGATTTCCATGATTCAGCTGTTAACTTTTACATGTCACAAAAATGGAGACAGTATTTTGACTCAGAAACATCTGCATTACTACTAGTTAGATTCCAGGGGACAGTGGAAAAATGCTGCTCTGAAACTGCTTATAGTAGATCTTCCTTCATAACTTCACTCAATTTTACACCCACTCACCAGATCAATGGTTTTAGCCTTTTCTTTGGATTCATCACTGCACCAAGTTTCACACCATAGCCATTCTTGAGGGAGAGATTTAATAGGCACCTGATGAATCATGTTATTTGGAAGATCCTAAAAAGGTAAGATTTAGAATTGTTATTTGGAAAACAGTATGCTGTACATTGTACCCAATGTGGTATTTCCTGTGCAGGTTGAATTACAATTGTCATCAAGCTCAGACAATGCAGGCGTATTGGAGAATAACACTTGTAATCCAACCCTCTAAGAGGACCTTGGCTGCAGCTTGGGAAGAGTGATGAGATTATTATTATTATTATTATTATTATTATTATTATTATTATTATTATTATTATTATTATTATTATTATTATTATTATTATTATTAAGTTGGAAGGGACCTTGGAGGTCATCTAGTCCAACCCCCTGCTCAGGCAGGAAATCCTATACCATTTCAGAAAAATGGCTGTCCAGTCTCTTCTTAAAAACTTCCAGTGTTGGAGCATTCACCACTTCAGGAGGCAGGTTGTTCCACTAGTTAATTGTTCTAACTGTCAGGAAGTTTCTCCTTAGTTCTAGGTTGCTTCTCTCCTTAATTAGTTTCCATCTGTTGCTTCTTGTCCTGCCTTCAGGCGCTTTGGAGAATAGCTTGACTCCCTCTTCTTTGTGGCAGCCCCTGAGATATTGGAACACTGCTATCATGTCCCCCCTCGGCCTTCTCTTCATTAAACTAGACCTACCCAATTCCAGCAACCGTTCCTTTTATGTTTTAGCCTCCAGTCCCCTAATCATCTTTGTTGCTCTTCTCTGTACTCTTTCTAGAGTCTCAACATCTTTTTTACATCGTGGTGACCAAAACTGAATGCAGTATTCCAAGTGTGGCCTTACCAAGGCATTGTAAAGTGGTATTAACACTTCACGTGATCTTGATTCTATCCCTCTGTTAATGCAGCCTAGCACTGTGTTGGCCTTTTTGGGTTCATATTTAAGTGATTGTCCACTAGGACTCCGAGGTCCCTCTCACATATAACCTTACCTTAATTTTGTTTATTACTTTTTACTTTACTTTTGAATGTATACCCTACTCGAAAATACAGTACAAATTCACTCAGCAATAAAAAAATAAAAAATTCAACAATAAAATAAACGTTTTTAACAATTAAAAGCTTGGCAAGATGTGTCTTCCTAAATAGTGGAAGAAGAGGAGCAAGCACACCTCCTCAGTCTGAGAGTCTCGGGGGAGAAGACTCTTCCTCTTATACCCAGAGTCAAGCTTCTGGCACAGGAGCCTCTTCGGAAGGACTTCTACTGTCAGGTGCAGGCCACCAGAACCACTGGTGGTTAGGTGCGAGAAGATATTTTATCACTGATAAAATTCCAAGAATCTTGCCAGGCTGTCTTCCTTCCCTTGCTAAATGGCAGATATAGACCTCAGGCAGGGGTCCCCAACTCCTAGGTTTTGGCCCACTAACCGAGCCGTGAGCCGTTCAGAACTGGGTAAGTACATGCGCACATCCCCATTTGCACGAGCAGCGGGTGAGTGCATGTCCACCACTCGCGCAAATAGAACTGCATGCACATGCGTGCTCCCTTGCCATTTGTACGGAACCATCCAATCTCCTCCCCCACCAGTCCACAAAGCCAGGAAGTTTGGGGAATTCTGACCTAAGGGTTCAATTTCAGATGTTTCCTTCCCTGAACGGACTCCAAAGTGGAATGCCTCCTTTTTATTCTCCCTAGAGCAGATATGTCAAACACAAGGCCCGGGGGCCGGATGCGGCCCATGAAGTAGTTTCATGTGGCCCGCAAAGCCATCCTGGAAACAGTGAGGGAACAGCCCCCGCTGCCTTGGCCCTGGCCCAGGCCAGCCGGGAGCCAATGTACAATTTTGTGGTGGTCATCTTGGCATTTGCCCCGGTGGACCATGCCTTGGCACTTGCCCCAGTCCCACCCCCTTCTGCCAGAGACTCTCAGATCTGTCCCACTCCTGCCCAGGCCCCCACAGGCACGATTGACACGAATGATGTAGAACTGGCCACGCCCACCCAGTAGGCCACACCCACTCCATCCACACCCACCCAGTAGGCTGCACCCACTCTGGCCACACTCATCCGGGGCCCCCAGGACAACCGCAATGCTGATGCGGCCCTCAGTGAAATTGAGTTTGACACCCCTGCCATAGAGTGATCTGCTCCTTTTCAGCCACTGGTTCCACCACATCTGCTTATTGAAGTAACCAGACAGGTTCATCCCAGTGGGTGAGGCGGTCCCATAGATCAGACGTGTCAAACTCGCGACATCATGTGATGTCATGCGACGTATCGGAGCTTTCCCCCCATTGCCGGCAATGGGGTGGGCGCGGTTTCGTCATGATGCATCCAGCCCGCGGGCCGGCAGTTTGACACCCCTGCCATAGATTGTCTGCCTAAATGAGCAGCATCAGTCTTTCAAGACAGGTATCATGGGATTACTGTGCCTCAGCACCATGGATTGCACCGATTTCAATTACTGGGCCCTTTTCAAGGGTAGCTCCATATAAAGTACACCAGAATAGCTGATACAGGTTGTAAATAAGGTCCCGTCACTGTCAGGAAGATTTGCAGTTGATTTACTAGATATAATATTGATGAGCACATTCCTTGTTACAACTGCAGCCTGAAAGTCCAGTGACACTGGTGGTGTGTGTGTATGTGTGTGGTGTGTAAACAGTTCCAAATGGTAAACATGCTTTCTTGAAGGGACCGGGGGGGGGGCTGCAACCTCATCCAGAACATGTTTCACCTCAGTCCATTTTCTCTACCAGCAAATGGATTTGTATGGATTTAATTTTAAGCAATGTTCAAGTTACTGATTGTTTGAGGGAGTTGAAAGGGAGGGAAAAGCGCAGTGAGAGTATCATATTCTAAAGCTTTTCGGTAAACTTCCCCAGCACTTTGCTGTACATGTTAAAACAAGACAGGAGACAAGATGGAGCCCTGTGGAACATCACACATCAGTGATTTTAGGTGTGGAGTAGCAATATCTCAACATCAAGGTCTGGGCAAAAGTTGACAAACTCAGTGTTTCCAAAGCTCCAGGGATACTATGACTGATGATATCAGAAAGCATCAAGAGGTCCAATTAGTAGGATTGCCTCCCCCACCCCCCCTTTAGTTATAGCACTGTTATCTAACAAGGCAACTGTGAGGCTGCCATGGCCTCAAACAGTGTCCCAATGAAATATATGGGAGACTGGCCTGTAATAAGAGAGATCTTCCAGGTGACCCCAAAAGTGCTTTTCCAAAAGGCAACTGGACTTTCTTGTTTTTTTTTCCCTTGAAAACAATTTGCTTCTAATCCAGTACATTAACAGTATCCCTATACTACACAGTCTTAGATACACAAACACAACAGCCTGAGGCTTCACTCATCTCTCAAGCAGGTCTCTATAAATATGCCAGTTCAGCACTTTTGAACCACAATTAAATCTTGGGTAACAGAGGTTTTTCTTGGTAACATATATTATGGATTATAGCATACCTGATCTAGGTTGGATAAACTGTTTGGATCCTGACTAAGTGCTTGATATTGACCTCTAAGCCTGTCGCCTGCAGCAATCCTCCGGAATATCTTCAGATCCACAACATATAAAGCACTACAAAAAAAACCCAATAAAGATTATGACAGTGCATTAGGGCTCGTTTCTCGCCCTTGAAAAATGGGCTATTATCAAAATATTGCTAATATCACTAGTTGAAATATATAAAAAGGACACAATGTTTCTATGTTTTGCCATGTCCTTTAGTGAATCCCATTCAATGAGACTTTCCATGCATAACTTTTGACAGAAAAATAAAGGCTATTAATTTTTATACACTGTACATGGAGAGGGAAGAGAAACAGATTTGCATACTTTCCCTACCTGATGTGATACTTCTTCTTCCCAAGATGTGAAGCCCAATATCCTGACTTCCAGAAACGGTAGCCATCCATTTCTCTACGACTATCACAGAAAGGAGTGTAACCATAAGGTGCACCTCTTAAGTTTAGATCGCGGAGTTCTTTCAGATCACTTCTTACAATCTAAATATTGGAAGGAAGCAAGAAGGGGCTATAATTCCTGGCTATAACTGTTATTAATTATAACTGCTATTTATATATTTTCTACATTCCTAAACCACCCGTCTTATTCATTAAGCTAGGTTTTCCATGATCCGCCATATATCTTAAAATAGGTTCACCTCGGTCATTGTGTTATGTTGCTTACTACATATTAATTAATGAATTAGCATCTAAGAGTATGTCAGTGTTTTGCAGATCCTTCAGAGTGGCTGAGAAGAGAGCAAAGTGTTTGGATGGTCTTCAGATTATGAATACTAGCTTGCCCAGAATAGTGTCAGCATACTTCTGCTAATGCAAGTTTGGTTATGCTTGTGACCTACTGGCCAAAATGTACCAAACACTGACTGGCATTGCCCTTACCATTAGCAGGGAATGCTAGATGTGGCACAACATCCCTGTGCTGAACGACAAGGCGGTCCTCATATTATCTATTTACTAAAAAGTAGATGAGAAACTTTTGACCAATCAAAGGGCTGCCATATAGGGGAAGACTAAACCGCTAAGGCATTTGGTGGCAGTCATTCCAGTATGGGAGACAGCAATTTGGATAAAAGGAAAACATGGAAAAGAGCATGAATTAATCACTGAAATGAAAGGGGTAAAAAAATGCCTCCATGAAACCAAGAGAAAGAAGGGTACCTGAGTGAAGGTGGACTGACCTTGTGACTAATGACTATAAGCAGGAAAGTGAAGATACAGGTTTAATAAGAAATGAAATGAATAAAATATATGTCACAAAGTATGAACTATAATCTAGGATATTACTAGTAGGCATGAAAATAAGTAAAACTGCATATTACCTCCAGGTGATAATGGAGAAGCAGACATTACCGTGTTTCCCCGAAAATAAGATTCAATCTTTTTTTTTTTGCCTCCAACAGAGGCACCAGGTCTTATTTTCGGGGGGTGGGGTCTCTTTTCCACTCATCTCTGACACCAACAGCCCCACCCAGCCGGCCCATTTCTGCGACTGAAGGAGCAGCTCATTCTGCAGCTGAGAATGGAGCTCCGGCCTGCATTTTGCAGTCAGACGCCTTTCCGGAAGGCCACTGCAGCTGTGTATCAAGCTACGGATTGAATCCATAGCTTGGTTCTCGGCTGCAGAGGCCTTCCGAAAAGGCCTCTGACTGCGAAATGCAGGCTTGGGGACACCGCAGAAGAAGTGGGCCGGCGAGGAGAGGCAGGCTGCAACAGTAAGCGGGTGCATGGGGCATGGGGCAGCTCCACATCCCCACCCCCGCCCTAGCTTGATTTTTAGGCGTGCACCTCGCCCCAAAACTAGGGCTTATTTTTGGGGTAGGGCTTATATTATGCCCACCCCCAAAAATCAAGCTAGGGCTTATTTTCCAAATAGGCCTTACTTTTGGGAAAACATGGCAGTTTTGAGAACAAATGTGCATTATGAATGAATGTAATTCAGGATGAAAGAAAATTGTTAGAAGAATTGAAGGGTACACAGAAGAAGTGACTGGGCTTTTTGAAACCTCAACAATGAATGAAAATGAATGAATGAAAGAAAGAAAGAAAGAAAGAAAGAAAGAAAGAAAGAAAGAAAGAAAGAAAGAAAGAAAGAAAGAAAATGTTGATAATTTGGCAAGCACCTACTTAAAGAGCTGTTCTGCATATGTGTTTAATTCATTCAAAGGAATGAATAAAAATTTAAAAATGGGAATAATTTAATTGCTAATGATAAAATACAGAGAAATAGTGAAGGATACCAAGAGGAAGAGAAGTTTTGGAAATGGGATAGACCAGGGGTGTCAAACTGCCGGCCCACGGGCCGGACGCATCATGATGAAACCGTGTCCACCCCATTGCCGGCAATGGGGAAAAAGCTTTTTTTATAGGGCCAACATGGTATCTTGGGAACAGTGAGCATTGGAGAAAAGAAATAAGTGAAAGAAACAAAAGAAAAATGAGTCCTGTATGACTTTCTGCATAGGAAATATGAAAAAAGAATGTTTGATGCAAATGTTAAAGCCAAAAGGACTGTGGATGAGAAGAAAGATATTATGTAATATACATAACATGAAGAAAATAGCTGCAAAGAAAACAAAGGGGATGTGAAAATGTTAAGATTAGAAGAGGAAGAGAAAAAGGCAGAGCAATTTTTATGGAAATAACCAACTGCAAAAACTAGAGATTGTGCCTGAGAAAGGTTTTGACAGAATTGATTGAAAATACACAAGATGTGATAGTAAAGCAGAGAGGCTTTATACCAGAATTTTGCTCTTCAGAAAGTTATTCATAAATGTATAAATTTGAGAAAGCAATTGACCACATGCTTACTGAATGCAATGCATGTTTCTACAGTTACTTATTATATTTATGGACACACACACACAAAGCTTAGAGCAATGTTACAGGTGAATTGGCTGGAGCATTAATGAACATTTATTTTTGTATGCAAATGATGCTACATTTTTGGCCAAGAATCTAAATAATTTATAGTGAATGTTATGCAACAGCTTATATCGATCTGAAAATGCATCTATCAAAGATTAGGAGAAAACGGAACAAGCAACTGCAATGCATAAATTGCAATTAAAAATTAGAAAGCAATTAGACAAATTTTCAAGTCAAAATGTGTCAAGTACCAAATGTGCTGCAATAGGAAGAAGGGGACGGCTGCAGAGAACAGACAGAAAGTCAGCCATGCCAGGAAGGGAGCTGCAAAAGGAAACGGGACAGCCACAGAGGGCGGACAGGAAGTCATTCCCAGCCAAAAGAAAGGGTCATGTGTTAAGTCACATGGTTTGCTTGTTTGGTAGTCATTGTTTTAGTACTCAACGTGCCTTCCAAAACCAATTGAGGACAAGTACCAAGTTACCATTATATCTAGAATTAAGCATGGACAAAGGAAAGCAAGGTCAATTAAAACTGTCATATTTTAATCTGCCTTGTTACCTGATCAGCATCAACAAATATTATTTTGTCCACAGCCAATGGGAAGAGAACATCCAAGAAGAGAATTTTATAACCCCAGATGATTCTTTGTTTTTCTGTCTCCTGATGAAGCCAGTGGGGCCATTTGTATTGTACAAGCTCATAATCAAAGCCATATTCTTTAGCCATATGAGGTATAAGCGCCTACAAAACAGACATCGAGACAAGATAAGCTATATCCTCATTGTTCCCGGCACAACAAACTGGTCAACGTCACATGAAAAGTGCATGTACAGAGTCTTACTTATTGTTTTCCATGCCTGGATATTAATTTAATGTGGTCAGAAATGAGAGAACTCTCCTTTCTGCAAAAAAAAGGCAATACTGCATGATTCAGATTTTTTTCAGGGGAAATGTTTTATTTTTCTGCTGGAAATGTTTCTGTTGGAAATGTTTTATTTTTCCTGGGAACAGAGCTCCTGTCTTCCTTCACAGGGTTTTAATGTTAATTTTTGCAACTTCTCTGTCCCTCAGATCATCCATATGATCACAATCTATAATCAAATTGGTAATCATGAATGAGAACATTTCCTCGGTATGATGCAGATGGCCTTTCAAATTATCCACATACATGTCACAACAGCAGCTATTCAAGGAGCAGATTGGCAGTTGCATCTTAACTTCTGGCAAGGACAATAAACAATAAAGCAATTAGGCCATAAACTCAGATATGTATAAACGTATACCATGTCTTTGACAACAATTCACCATGTCTTTGGCAACATTTAAATACTGAGCATTTTTTTAAAAAAATGAAAGCTTGATTAAAGCTTGTCAGGGATGAGTAAAAGCATGTTGGGAGTAAGAGAGATGTGAAGCATTTAAGACAGGACCAACCTCCTGAGTTTACAGGAGTCATTTGACATGACAAATACTGGCAAGAAGAACATCAGTGATGAGAGAGTGATGTCCAACATCTGAAAAGTTACTGAATAGACCAGTGATGGCGAACCTTTTAGAGACCGAGTGCCCAAACTGCAACCCAAAACCCACTTATGCATCGTCGGGTGCCGGGTGGGCATGGCCCATTGGATGGGTGTGACCAATTGGGTGGGTGTGGCCCATTGGGTGGGCGTGAATGCAGTGGTAACAGCAGACTGGGTGGGACTAAAAAGTTCAATCAATCAATTCCAACTTTGCAAGATCTTTTTTTTTCCCGCGAGAAGTTGAAATTGACTGATTGAACCTTTTTTTTATTTGCACACGGCAGCGGAGACCTAAAGCGAAAAGGTTTTATAAAACCCAGCTGAAAGCCTAGGACTGGGGCGACGGCGCGCGTGCCCACAGAGAGGGCTCTGAGTGCCGCCTCTGGCACCCATGCCATAGGTTCGCCATCACTGGAATACACTATCAATATATGATGGGTCAGTCTTGTTCCAGTCAAACTCTGTACATGAAATAGGAAAGCCAACTGTCCTTTGCCTAAAGCAGCAAAATATAGTACACCTCTGCTTTAGATAGGGCTAGTTCAAATGTAACAGAACTTAAGATATTCAAAATAATCACACAATACTTTTGTATTCAAAACTAGAACCACCTCAAAACTTCAAACTATTTCAAAAGTTCAAAATTAGAACTATTATTATTGCAAGTTACTTATTTAAGTTAATCTATTGTAAATAAAACCCAGAACTGGACTGCTTAAGTAAGCTAAAACTGACATTGATGCTTTGCAATTAGAAGAGCCAAGATCTGTCTTGATTAAAACTGCAGTGGATTTTAAAAGTGAAATACTGTGCTTACTTTAAATGTAGGTGAAAGGTAATTTTTCAGAAACCAAAATTTTACTGGTGTCTTTGTGTGGCGTAGAACTGAAAGCATCATAATTCTGGAAAACAACAATAATAAAACAAGAATAATCAGTCATGTCCGCTTTGAGAAATTCACAGCACTCATGATTGACTCAATCATGGGCAATATGTACACTATTTTACAGAGATTCCAAAAAGTAACTTTATAATAACCTTTTTCCCCCGAGGATGGGCTTCAGCACAAGTCTGAAAGCTCGGAAGACTAAACCTCTGGTCCCAGTGACTGACCCAGATTGGATCCTGCTTAACTTTTTTTCAACTAAGAATAAAATCAATGTAAGACTGTTTAACTATTCAAATCTTGCTTTAAGAACCCAACTAACCAGGTTCCCTATATTCAAATCTCCCACGTAAAGTATTCTTCATCAGTTTCAAGGTTAAAGTACATAGGAATATATACACAGCCAGGCACTCTGGTATGGCTCAACAACCCCTTCACCCAAATCCTTCAGATACCTTAAAAAGCGCTCATATAAATGGCCAGAAGCAACAGAAAATATATTCAGTACATCAATTTTCTTCTCCAGATTTGCTTTCCATGTTCGTCCTGTAAAACTTGAAAAATATTTTATTCAGTTTGTATTTAAGACATATAAAAGGGATCATCTTGCATTATTGAAACAAGAAAGGGGGGAAAGATCATATCAGAAGGGAAAAAAAACAGACTATTATAAAGTGCACAACTATACATTCTTTAAGACCAAAACAGAGTCTCCAAAGATTTATGTGTCTAAGCTTCTATGCTGTTCTAATAAACAACAATGATTTACAATACTTATATACAGTTATTGGAATTGAAGCAATATACATACCAAAATCAAATGCTAATTCAAAGCAATACCTGAAACTAACTCTTGCCAAAGTGTGGGATAGTCTTCCCAAGAGAAGCTCCGTATCAGAACTTCAGTGGTTGAAAAAAATGCTGACTTGACCAGATTAGACTAAACTAGACTAGATTAGAATCATAGAGCTGGAAGGAATCTTGGAGGTCTTCCAGTCCAACCCCCACCTATGCAGGAGACCTTATTCTATCCTGGATAAATGGATCTTTTCTTGAAAAATCTCCTGTGATGGAGCACCCACAACTCTGGGAGGCAAGCTGTTCCAATTGATTAATTTTTCTTACTGTCAGGAAAATTTTCCTTAAGTTTCAGACTGAATCTCTCTTTATAGATCCTCCACAGATTGCTTCTTTTCCTTCTCTCAGGTGCTTTTAGAATAAGTCGACCCCCCTGTTTTCTGTGACAGACCCTCAAGTACTGGAAAACAGCTATCATGTCACCCTAGTCCTTCTCTTCATTAGGCTAGATATACCTAGTTCCCTTAACTATTCATCATAGCCTCCAGACTCATCATCTTTGTTTCTCTTCTCTGCACTCCTAGGGTCTCGGCAAGATTTTTATATTGTGGTGACCAGAATTGGATGCACTATTCCAAGTGTGGACTCACTAGTGCAGTATAAAGTAGTACTATCAGTTCTTGTGATCTTGATGCTATCCCTATGTTATTGCAGCCTAGTGCTGTATTGGCTCTTTTGGCAGCTGCAGCACATACTTAAGCAATGGTCCACTAGGACACCTAGTTCCCTCTCACAGTTAGTGCTGTTGAGCCAGGTACTGCCTATTCTATACCTGGGCATTTGTTTTTTCCTGCTTCCCCATCACCACCATTATCATCATCATCCTATATCAACTACATCCTAGAGAAGCCAGGGATCCTACTTATTTTGGTTTCCCCAGTTTAGCTAAACAAAATGAGAAAAACTGAAAGAACTTCCTTCATAGGACAAGATCATTCTTTACCTAAAGAATGAGAGCCCATCTAATAATATTACAGAGATAATAAACCAGAAATGCTCCTCACCGACCAAGTTTCTTGGCTAGACCCAAGTAAAGTCCAACCAGCTTACCTGGTCATGGAATCTTCCTCCTCTTCTGTTGTTACTTCACTCAGGAGATCTTCATTTTCACTGTCAGGTTTTTTCTGTACCTACAGATCAAACCAAACAATATTTTCAGCACAGACAAAACAATCAGCAATTTCCATTATAATCACATTAAATGTTGATTTAATTTATCAATCATCTAAGCATTTCAATCTTCAATTGCCAGCATACATACTTGAATTCTGATGATTTTGCTTCTAAAACTATTTAATACTACAATAATTTCTTCTTGACTTCCAGAAGAATCTGTTCCTTCATGCCTAGAGAGGAAAGAAAGTAAGTTATCTGCAAATAAAAATTAGATATAATAATTAGTTTTTTTTTTAAATTATGGAACAGTTTGCTCAGCTGAGAATGAAAATCCCTGCTTTCCAGTATACTAATTTAGGAATTTTCCATATTTATATCCTTTCAGAGAAGTTGTAGCAGACATTTGCATTTTGGGGATCAGTGCAGGAAGGCAGAAATGTTCAAATCAATTTAGGAAACCATCTACCAGGGGCATACACAAAAATCTACATTTCAAAGGCAATGTTTTGCAATTAAGACAATTTGATACAAAATCTATGTTATCAGTATCTACAAGCCACAACCTTCTTAGTAAGTCATTGCCTTCAGAATGAATCTTCTTAAGATTTAGAATATTATTCTTAAACACATTTTAAAAGGAAGAATCCAAGACTGAAGAATTCAGTGTGCTGAAGCCAACCAGATAATTCTAACAAAAAAATAATTCCAGGATCTCTTGTAACTGTTGTTGATTTCATCTAATACTTTCTATTTTTATGCAGAACACTAATTTGCAGACAAACACTAATAAGTAGATTTAGTTATTTTTCTGCCTGGTAGGTAATCCATATTGTGTGGATGATATACTGTATGCTCTATCAAGCCTTATAATTCAATATAAGAAAGAAAAAATATATTCTTGCTTACTGGGAGGAAATAGCATTGTCTACATAGGCTTGATTTGTGCAATTCCTTCCTCTCTAACAATAAAAACCAATTTTCCTTCTTTATCACGGTTGCAGAGTCCTGGGGTCATGTGATCAGCTTTTGCAACCTTCATTCAAGCAAAGTCAATGGGGAAGCCAGATTCACTTAACAACTGTGTTACTAATTTAACACCTGCAGTGGATTCACTGGCAAGAAAGGTTGTAAAATGTAGCAAAACTCACTTAACAACTGAAATTTGGGGCTCATAAATCAAGGATTACCTGTAATCTTCTGTAGAACAAATAGAGGGAAGGTACATTAATTAGCTCTATTCGTTTTAACACATCAAAGTATTTAAGAAACTGTGGTTTGGGGAAAGTAAAGCTGATTCACTATAGAACACTGCAAATTATTCCCCTAACCCCCCCCCCCCCAAGATTTGCTTGTTTTTAACCCATTTTAAACTATTTCAGGTTCACATATTTTTAAAACAGCAGGTGCTGTTTTAAAGGCAGGTGCTGAAAGGAGAAATAAAAGAGGCTGCTACCCATATATATTCCAATTAGTGGAATATCAGCAGTTATTTCAGAAAGTCTTAATTCTTAATGAATTAAGAGGTAAACATCTCGAGTCAAAACAAAACAAAGAAATCCCAGCGTGTCACTTTCTATTCATTTTGAGTGAAACCTTACAAGCCAGCTTGGGAAGAGGCAGTCTGCTCTTTAACCAAGGGGCTGAAATAAGAGGCAGAAGGCTGTCAGAGAAGGTTCCTGCACTGACCAGGGGTTGGACTTGAAGCCCCAAAGTCTCTTTGAATCTTTAGATTCTAAGATTCTAGGAAACTACTCCACTTTGTTTTTGACTGCTGGTTTCCATTTTAGAACCCAAATGTTAAAAGATGAATTTTACTGCATCAGTTTACCATAGAAATATAGCAGTGCTATAGGGCATTGCACACCAGAACAACTAGACTAGGGGTAGGCAACCATGGCTCTTTTATGACTCGTGGACTTCAACTCCCAGAATTCCTGAGCCAGCATGGCTCAGGAATTCTGGGAGTTGAAGTCCACGAGTCATAAAAGAGCCATGGTTGCCTACCCAAGGACAGTTTTTTTCCCCATACCTTCACTCTGCTTAACAACTAATTCCTACATTGTCAAATTACTTAGTAAAGCTGTATTACTATTATTCTCCTCATCTTTCCTATTACGTATCCTTATCTTCTAATGACTATAACTTTGCTGCTTGTATCTTACAATGTATATGTATTATTTTAGTATCCTAGTATGATTTACATTGTTTGCTTAGCTAGTAATCTATGACTATCACTAAGTGTTACATCTTATGATTTATGATGAAGTGTTGTATTTTATGATTCATGATGAATGTATTTTTATGTTGCTTATTATCATGATTTATCACTATTACTTGTATGTACACTGAGAGCTTATGCACCGGAGACAAATTCCTTGTGTGTCCAACCACACTTAGACAATAAAGAATTCTATCTACTCTGTAAGTGTCACCAAGATGAGAAATTAAATAGGTGGGATTAAGGATAAGGAGGCCTCTACTATTTCACCTCAATTATGGAATTTCTTTCCTGGAAAGTTGGTCTGTAGCTAACACTGTAGTAAGGAAATGGCATCAACTGAGAGAATGCAGGAACTCACAGAGCAATATCGCAGGAAATTAACTGATTCCCAAGACAACACAAGGAGGAAGCAAACTATGTCCAATTTTCAGAATTCCTAGTTCAAACTCTGAAGGTGCCTAATAAAATTATAAGTAAACAGACAAGCTCTAGATTTAGTTGCAAGTGAATCACAATGGTTAAACTGAAATCCTGTCACGTGAGATTCCAAATTTAGATCTGCCGTCATTCTTAGCAACGCAGCATAAGGATTCTAGTTAACAGGTGCAGTTTCTTCTAACTTATGATCTTATCATGAATAACATGTCTAAAGGACAGAGCAATTTTTTTACAAACAAAAGAGTCGAAATAGAAGGCAGAAAGCTAATGAATTTCTAGTGTCAGACTGACCCATGTAAGCTATGTTTGAGTCTCATGAAGTATTTGGCTATAAGCTGTACTTTGTTAATTTTACGTGTGTGTATCGTTGTTAAGCTTATTTATGTGAGGAGAGAGAAAGAAGGGGAGAGATAATATGAGGGTATGCATACACATAAAGCTTACACACACACTTTCATTTCAGTCCTAGACCACAGCACATACAGTATATATACTGTACCAGATAACTATAAAATTACCTGCAAAAAAGCCAAATAACACAGTAGCTTTAAAAAGAGAGAACCACCTCAATTTTGACTTAAGAACAAATTCTACAAACCTAAGCCATGACAAATAAGCAATTTTACACCACTCCCGTTTCAGCTTATCTTTTCCTTTACTTTAAAAAAGGTTCTGATTTTATTTATTTAATGAACTTATACGGCCACTTATCTCCCATAGTGATCATAGATGATTCATAGCAACCAATAAAAACAGGAATAAAAATAGAACAATCCTTCCTGCCAGTTGCCAGACCAACCAGATTACTGACTCAAGTCCCATCCTAGCACAATGCTTGGAGGCAGAGCCAGATTTTTATGGCCTTCCAGAAGGTTAAAAGGTTTTATGTAATTTATCGGTGTAAGTTATATATTTGGGGTGTATTTGGGGTGAAGAGGAACAGGTTGATTAACCGACTTGGGGGCTCCATTGCTAGAGGTTTTCAAGAAAAGCTTGGGCAATGATTTGTCCAAGATAGTATCAGGACTCCTGCCTTGGGAAAGTGGATGGACTAAAAGACCTCCAAGGTGCCTTCCACTCCAATAAAATTCATTTATATTTACGTTTTGATTCTCAACTTTGCTATGAAGCTTGGTCGTGGGATACTCCAGAAGCTGCTAAAATACAATTTTCTGTATTCCAGATTATCAGCCTTGCAGGCTGGATTGTTGGGAGTTGTCTCAGCCATGGCAGCTCCTGGCCAACGTGGCTTGCAATCTAGACTTGTCTTCAGATTAAATTGAAAACCTGTAGACTTCTGATGTTGCCTAACTCTATGTCCCAGCATTCCCCACCATTGGCCAAATAACTACTATTAAGAGCTGTAGTACGGCTGTGTTAAATAATGAAATTCCTTCATGAAATGAAGTGGTGAAACAGAAAATGGAGCAAAAGGGTCATGTCTAAGTTAAGAACATTTAGCAAACCTCAGTAAAAGGAGAAGAAGCAGAGCAAATCAAATTAGTCCAAGATGCCAACTTTGATGTATCTTTGGAATCTGCAAAATGAACATCATCTTTTGCTGCTGTCTTCAAACTATTTCTCTTCACACACACCCCTCTAGTTTATCTTCAAGTCAACATAAAATATGCTTTATATTTATAACTGTTAGATTATAATTATGTCTTACTGAAATATTTCATAGATTTCTTCAGATCTTCCTTCACGTAATCTCAAAATCCAAGACCCTGGGTTGGCTTTTAATTGAAAATATCCCTGCAAAGCAAGCAAACAAACCAACAAACCAAAAGTCTTAGTGGATTTAGGAATTTCATCCCAGAAACTGACTCCTCAAACACAGATGCCAAACAATTGGTGAAATCTACCCTTTCTGTTTGGATTTTGCATCTTAATTAAGGCAAATACATGCACAAGCATTGTAGTATTCTTTTATATTTTAGTTATTATATTTATGCATTTTCTCATTTATTTACACAGCAATCTTGAGAGGGAAATTTCATTGACAAAAAATGACTGGTCCATGACTGAATGGGAATTTGAACTTGCTCTCCTTGATCTAAATGGAATACTAACCACCAAGAAGAAATGATCTAAAATAGATTCTGATGCTGGATCTTGAATCAAAGGATCAAATCTCCCTCATTTCAGGTGAGAAAGTAGATTTTTCCAGATACTAGAATTAACAGGCTGCTTTTCTTTTTATTGGAAGCCAAGATTGCTAAAATGTAAAGGATCTAGAAAAGAAATAAATTAATGCTGCTACTGTTATGTATGAAATTGTGAGATCCAACCTGGAAACAAGGAGAAATTTTCTGTCAGTAAGACAGAAAATGGAACAGCTCGCCTCCCAGAGTTGAGGGTGCTCCATCACTAGAGATTTTCAAGAAAAGGTTGGACAATCATTTGTCCGAGATGGTGTGAGGATTCCTGCTTCAGGCAAAAGATTGGACCAGAAGACCTCCAAGGTCCCTCCCAACCACATGAAATTCATTTGTATTAACATTTTGATTCTCAACTTATAAAGTTTGGACATGGGGTATTCTAGAGGCAGCATTCAACCTGCAGATTGGGCTATTGGGAGTTGTCTCAGCCATGGCTTGGGCTAAGCAAAGTTGAACTTGGTTAGAATTGAATGGAAAATATCCAGAGTAATCAGAACAATAATCTAGCCTGGGATATTGAAAATAATCCTATAAAATGGCAAACCAATTCTATTCTGCTACCAAGAAAGCATCATGTCTGCATCTATGAAGTTAGCAGGAGGAGCTCAATTTGAAGAAGTTTGCATTGACTTTGAGGGAGTGTGTTCCCCTATTTTAATCACAAGAAGACTGGAACTTTCCATTTCCATTTCTTAAACAGTTTTCTATACATTTAGCCACACTTCAGTCTGTGCAGAGGCCAACAGTATCATTCTCCACATGGACCAAAACATGGGAACTATGAATGCTTCATTGTAGACATGCACCACTTAAAATCAGCCATTCAGTGCACAGTCCTGAATTCCACCTTTTTGCAACAACTTTTCAAAGGATTTTGAAGATCCTATCCAAGACTTTGGGGACAGGACTGTCATGTAATCCTGGGGCCACAAATTCTACATCTGATTATATGATAACACTATTCTAAGATATTCTGCTCAGGATATATTTAATGGCATGGTTAAAATGATATATCTTTTATTATAATATTATATTCTGATCTCATGTAATTTATTAATCCAGATTACCAATTTCCCTAATTTATAAGTGGCATCTACACACACAAGTCTTAAGTATTTAATCCCTCAGTTTCAGTTTTCAGTATCTGATGTTATTCCATAAATAATCCCTTCTTGGTAAGAAAAACTATAGGATTCAATCAATAAAATAGACCATACCATTAATATTAGCAGACATATTAGATAAAAACAATGAGCATTTGCATAAATTACATACATATTCTCCTGCCTTAGACAGCACTTACCAGGTTGGCCATCACAATGGTATCAACTTTGAAAGGATTATTCCTTCTTCCAAGGGTGAATTGCAATCCCCGAGGTGGCTTCCTATTGCTCACATCATAGCAATGTCCTTCCAGCAACAAATATTCTAATTCATACTCAGCTGAAACCACCCCTTCTACCTGTGAAAATGCATTTTTTTAAAAAGACACATGTGAATAGTAGGAAGTATTGGACATATTGTAGCCATACACAGAGTGCTTACACTTGCTAGAGCCACAAATGTATTACTGTTGCTCAGTGCTTATACAATCTGTCTAATGAAGGATCTATGGCTGGATGTTTTCTGAAATTAAGTACCAGAGACATTTATCTCATTTTGAACTCTTGGAGAGAAGAAAATGTATCCTCCTCAATAATTTTGTTATTTTTTTAAAGCTGCAATTTCACGTCTGTTCCAAAGGCAATACATTTCCTCACTCAGTAAAAGTAGCAATTGCCACAGTAAATGAGAAATGTTGGTCTTTAAAGGGGAGGTAGAACTACTCTGAGGAGAATCATGGCTGGTATGGGCAATGATTGTGGTTCCTAGTCAATGAATCAGGGAATGTAGGGCCAATGTTGGTGGCAATGAAATAGTTTAAAATTTTCTGAGGTTTCTGAACAAGGACCCTTGAGGTTATTTCCCTCAAGGATTCATTGCCACCAAATTATGACAAAAAGAATACTGCCTGCTGTACCTTAGCTTTCTATAGTACTGAGACTAAGTGAGGAACATCATCTGAAATCTGGATGTCACGAGACTGCTTGTATCAAATTGTTTCATCACAGTAGGTGCACTGTGGGTCCCCTCCATTCAACATTGTCCTCTTGTTGGATCTAGGAAATGTGCCTTCTCTGTTGCATTCCCACCCACACCCACCCCTGAGATAAGGGGGCACCATCACTTCTGAAGTTCTGGAAAGCTTTGAAAATCTACTTTTGGTCTGAGGCCTGGGTTGATGTTTATGGCTTGTTGAAGGCTTCTGTTTTGCATTGTTGGTTTTATTGCTTATCAGATCATTTAAGTTTGGGCTATCTGACTGATTTTATCTTTTTTCTAGTTCTACATGCTGCCAAAAGTCCACTGGAGTTGGGCAGTCAATACATTTATACAAACAAATAAATAAACTTCAGATTCTATTCATATCTTCTGGTATTTTGCAAATGAAGTTGTTATCAAAGGTGCGAACACCACTTTAAATAAATGTAGCTAAAGTAACAGGATAACTATTCTTCAAACATTATGCATTCTATGTGCCTGGAATGAAAGTTTTTAAGAAAAATACAAGCCTAAAGTATCTGAAAAGTGAAAAAAATAAAAACAAATTGGCTATTACAACTTTTTGTACAATATGTTTAAGAACTAGTACTCACATCTTTTAAATGAATGTTGTCGAGGTCATAAGAACTGTTCACTGCTTCAACCAACCAACTTTCTGGAATTGCCATGTTTAGTGTCAGAAGAAGAGACTCTGGAATTTCAAGGAAGGTTGCTCCAGATGAAAGAGGAAAGAAATTATTGGACCCAACAGAAAGTTCTGGTTCCATAACTAAACGATAAAAGCTATAACCAAGGCAAAAATATAACTATTAAGAAGGCAAGGCAAAGCATAGAGCATTTTAGAGGGTTGCACGGCAATTTGTAAAAGCCTCAGAATGTTTTGCTTCTATTTCATACACATAGGATTGTTTGGCAAGTAATTGTGTAATATTTTACCTAGAAGTTCAAGAAACTTGAATGGGCTTTTTTCTCTGCTCTTATTTTTAATTTCTAATGCTTTATCTTTCTAATCTGGGTCCAATTATTGTGTTAACCTTTGACAAAGACAGTTTCTTCACTGTCAATCCAGGTCATAAAGCTTTTGGGGAAGTAATATATCCAGTTCAGGATACAACATTTCCCAGGAAAATGGATGTGTCTTCCTATAAGGAATGCAATGTACAGCACTAGTGTGAAGCTTGTTTTTTAAAGAGTGTAGCTTCTCTACATAAAAGGTTCAGGTAAAGGCAGGTTAATGTTGAGGGCTTAGTCATAGAAAAAAATGGGAAGACCAAATATTTAAGGGGAGGAAAAGAATCTGAGGATTTTGAGAAGAGACCTGCTTCTAAATATAAATCATATTAATGAAATGACCTCTAAAGATGTTGGAGACAATGAAAATGTGTTTATGTTTCATGAGCCCTATTATCATACATGAAACCGTTTCTTCAATAAAGACCATCTGTGAAAGTACTCTCACTTTGTTGGGTCCACTTTGGTAATAAACTTCTTCAGGTTACTTGCCTTTTCAAGGGTGTTTCTGATAGGTTTGATCTACAGTTCATGAACAGTCTCAGCTTCATGTTGACAATCTGACCAAGCACCTAATGAAAACAATTCCCATATTAAAGTCTTGCAAATTTTTCCATTTTTCTATTTCTATCCTTTTAATTTACATTACGTTCTTCAAATGATAAACAAATACAGGTAGTCCTCAACTTACAACAGTTCATTTAGTGACCATTCAAAGTTACAACGGCACTGAAAAAAGTGACTTATGACCATTTTCACACTTAAGCCCACTGTAGCATTCCCAGGGTCACGTGATCAAAATTCAGACACTTGGCAGCTGACTCATATTTATGACACCTGCTGTGCCCCACTTTATGCGACCTCCTGACGAGCAAAGTCAATGGGGAAGCCAGATTCATTTAATAACTGTGTTACTAACTTAATAGCTGCAGTGATTCACTTAACTCTGGCAAGAAAGGTATAAAATGGGGCAAAACTCACTTAACAAATATTGCAAACTTAGCAAAAGAAATTTTGGGCTCAATTGTGGTCATAAGGCAAGGACTACCTGTACATTATTTGCAAATTTACATGTTTCCACTTTGCCTTCTATCCTATTCATATTTACAATTTAATAATCAACTTTATTTAGGAATTAAGTCTTAGTAGAAATAATTCTTAGTATCCCTTTAATGATGTTAGTATGAGAAATGATAGCTTTATTATGAAGCACCTATCTGATCATAGGAAAATGAACCAAATAGAAAAGGCTAACACATCTTCAAGCTAGAAGGCAAGGATCCTGTGTGAAACTGCTTTTTTTGCTTTGTACTTTATTATTCCCAGCATAGTGTTATTTTGTTTTGTGATGTTTGTATACTGATTATTTTAACTCTTTACAAACTGCCTAAAGTGACTTGACATGTGAACAGTCTTAGAAATTGAACGAATATGCAACAGCTAGCACAATGCAGCAAAATAACCTGCATCTTGATTCTAAGGCAACTTGCTTTCTCTTTTTAATCCTAGAAACAGACCTAGAAGACTCTTCTTCTGATGAAGAGAAAGTTTCTTCATGGTAAGTCCAATTACCATTTTTGGACCCTGGAGATAGAGCTTTTGCTTGTAACACCAGTTTTTGTATATGACTCACAATTCAAGTTGTATCAAATCAACTTTAAGGGCTGCTGGTGGTTGGTTGTCTTGGATCAAGATTGTCTTACACCTGAACTTAGAGGATCCATGTTCAGAAATTGCTCTGTTCAATCTCAGACACATTGTAGCTGTTATGGACTAGCTGTATCATTGGCTCATGGGACAGAATGTCTAGGTGTTGCAGAAGTGCCACAGATGTTGCTCTCATATCTCCACTATGAGATCCACGGCCTTCTGAAGCTAAAATGGGGCAATCAGTCAATTGTGCATTTAGCTGCTACTTTGTACACCACCATGAAGAGGATTGAAAAAAGCAGAAATGCATTCAGTTGCCACCATGGCATTGGCCGTCTCTTATTCTGTTGTCTTAAAATTAAAAGAAGTGCCTTGTTTATTGTTCACTATAACAGATGCATTGGATGAAGGCCCTATTCTCCTACTGTCAGATATTGTCAACATAGCTAGTCTGCTATGAAACTGAGCTATGTCATTATGTTTTGCTGATATGGATCTGCAAGTCATTAAACATTTGCTGATATGGATCTGAAGGCCCTGTGAGCAAGAGCTACTCAAGTGATTCTAGTGTCTTTCCAGAAGGTGAATAAAGTAGAACTTTTATGGAGGGCCATCAAGTTGTAATTTGCTGTCACATTGTCGCCAAGATCACCATCTGATTGATTTATGTGCCATCAAACCCTTTGTGATCACATAGACCGACTTTCTCCAGGAATGACCTGTCTCCAATCTGGTCCTTCATGCAAAAGCAGGAAGCACTGTCATTGTAGTTACATCCATCAACTGGCTATCAGTAATTCTTTTCTTCTTTTAGTCCATCATTGCCAAAGAATTAGATCGTTCCATTACATCCAAAATATGAGCCTTGTCATTTCTGCCATAAATGAGAACTATGGATTGAAAATCTACGGTCCACTTGCTTGTTTTTCTAGTTATCCATGGTATTCTCAGGAGTCTTCTTCAACACCACTATTCAAACTTCCAGTGTTGTTTCTATCCTGCTCCTTCATGCTTAAAGCTGGCTAATGAAACTGTTCTTAGTTTATTCTTTATATTTAATTTTACTCTCATTTTTAAAATTCTGATTACTGAGAATACCAAAGTGACCCCCTGTAAATTTAAACCTGGATCTCTCATCCTACCATGCATACAATTCAAAGTAAATAATTACCATTTCAAGAAAGATCTTAAATAAAGCAGTTACGTTGTATGGAAAACAATGTTAAATTGGCTTAAGGTTACCACAATTCACAAGGCAACAGTATGCTCTTACAATCAATAAATGTGATAGCTTCTGGGCTTCTCTTGTTAGTGGATCAACAACACCAACTATATCAAAGTAGGGTTCACTTTGCTCTGGATTTATCTTCAGTATGCTATGTAGGGAAGGCAATGGGGAGACATTAAGCATTGAACAAAAAAATCTTAAAGGCATGTATGACTTGAAGATGTAATGTTCATAAGAAATATACTATATTATCCCTTTGCAATTATCAGCTATTTAATAAAACATGTTGATTCAACAAATGGATGCATTTCATTGAATATGTCTTCAAACTAGTGAAGCAGTTCTAATGAAGAACTGTTCCACTAGAAAAGCACCTGCTGTGTAATAGTTTATGTCACTTATTCTGAGAAACAAAAAGCATGCACTGAAAGCAATTTTCCCTAGAGAGGAAGTGAAGAGCGCTTCAGACCTATTGTGAGCACCCTCCTTCTACCTATTCCCCAATCCTTCAATTATAGCACCCTTTGGTTCTTTGATTTATGGCCTTCAATTTTAATCTCGATGATTTGGCAATGATAAGAATGATAGATCAATGATCTGGAGAACATGCTCAGTCTTAAGCTCAGGTTTGGGATAGACTAAAAGGTAAGAGTTTTATCTTAGTCTGATAACCTTTGACAAGAGCTTCTAGTGAAGCTCTCTTCATTCTTATTGATAGACACTTAATCACCCCAGTTCTTCTGAACAATTTCAAGTGTCCAATGCCTCCTACTCATTCTTATATTTTGGCAAACTTGAGAACTTGATCTCGCTGGTTGATACTTTCCCCCTTTGTGTTTTTGGAGAATCTAAGAACTGACACTCAAAAATAAACTTTGTAAATAAATATAGTGATACAAGGAGATTTCAAGAATATTGATTTTAAATGCTGAGCACTGTTTAGCTTCTTAGACAACTTGTTTTTAACAAATGGCTAATGAGATAAAAACTTTCCTGGTGACAGTTTTTCAATCACAGAGTAACCCCCATATCTTATTCTTTGGAATTGGACCTTTAGGAAAACAGATTGATTTTTCCTATATAAGTAGTTACTTATACACATTCCAGTCTTCTTGAAATAAATTTATCTTAATTGACCTTTCTTTGATTATAGCCTTTTTGTATGTGTAAATATGTTTGGTATTTAAAGACTTTGTCACTTGTCAGCCTTTTTCAATGAATGTCTCTTTGAAAAGTGGAATATAAATTACCCAAATAAAGTTAATTTTGTTTTTTTAATGGTAATAGCAGTGCAGCAATAAATATTGCAAACAGAATAGATTGCTAATTATCTGGCCATGATTCACACAACTGAATTATCATTGAAAAAAAATAAGGAACCACTATTTTTACCTATGTTGGTCTTTGAAAAATTCAACATCTTGGCGGTCATCAGTTATTGGCAAAGAAGAAAGGAGGGCATTCACTTTCATCACTAAATTACTGCCACTATAGAAAAGAGAAAAGAACTGGATATAACTCAGGAATGGAAGAATCTCCTAAAATAATGCCATTAGATATCCAAAAGCAACACCACCACAATCTGTAAGGCTTCCAAAGAAGACTGGCAATGCTGAATGTTGTTAGTGTTCCTTGCACAATAAGATGTGGGAAATTAAAGAACAAAAATATGTTTTTGAGAGCTTTTCATAACAATGGTCTTTTTAAATCCATCTCAGGTAGAAGGAAGGTCCAACAAGGCACAGAAAAGGAAAAACCATTTTTTTTCTAAGCCCATCACAGTGGTCATCCTTGGTCTTTTTAAATCCATCTCAGTCTTACATTTGTGCTCCAACAAAAACTAATCTCAGCTGCTGAGGTCATCGAAAACTACCAAATTATCAAAATCAGTTTTTACCATTTAGGTTTATGTAACTATGAAGCCTAGTATTATGAGATGATTTTCTCTAGTGCTATCAAGTCTGGAGTCAAAGACTACATTCACACTCTATACTTTTGTAATTAGCTGATCTATATTATTAATTTAGAAATTTTTAAGCTGCCCAACTCTAAACTCTGGGTGGCAAACATTAAAAACATTTTTTATTATTAATTTATTTTTAAATTTATATGCTGCCTATCTCACGGTTCGAGCAGTGACAGGATAATGTGAAATTCATATAATACAACAAAAACAATAGAACCAAAAGTAATAAAAGAGTGATCTGACCGAGGCTGTGAACTGATTACAATGTCCTCCAGACCCAGACCACACCCAGCTAAATTCAGTGTCTCTTTTAAACGGCAAAACATCTGCAAAACGTGCTTCACCATAAAACCTTCCACAATAAAAATTACCGTTTATGATCAATCCCCATTTCCTTGACAAGGCTTTTAATCTTTGCAGCTGCTGTATTTAGAGTTATCGTCTCCAATAAATCAAAGTCTTTGGCATTTAATTCATCTTCTTTTAAAGGGCCTAATATCTACAGAACAGAAATTGACATAATTCAATGTTAGGAGAAGAATACAATACTTTGGTTTGTAAGCATCCTGATTTATGCCCAGAAAGTGACTGAGAAATGAAACTAGCACAAAACATTCTCTGCTATAAGCATTGTCATACATTCTGTAATAACTGAAATTTCCCAACAGTTTTTAACAGTCAGAGGTAAAATATATAATAGCATTCTGAACCTGGTGAGTTGAGGAGGTGGGCAAAAGTGTTTGTCCTACTGAAAAGTAGAAGGAAGGTCCAACAAGGCATAGAAAAGAAAAATCCATTTTACTTTCTAAGAATTCATAGAACATACAATAATAGGGATGTAAGGGACCTTGGAGGTCTTCTAGTCCAACCCCCTGCTCAAGCAGAAGACCCTATACCATTCCAGACAAATGGCTGCCCAGTCTCTTCTTGAAAACCTCCAATGATGGAGCACCCACAACTTCCAGAGATAAACCATTCTACTGATTGTTCTCAATGACCGGAAATTTCTCCTTAGTTCTAAGTTGGCTCTCTCTTTAATGACCCCATTACTTTTTGTTCTGCCCTCAGGTGCTTTGGAGAATAGGAGAATATAGGAATGAGCCTTCGGTTCTGAAAGACTAGAGGAGAAAAATGCTGGATTGTCTCTCTCAATCAAAGGAGGAAACTCTCTTTCAAAGGACCAAAAGTATCATCCTGGAATGCTTGGGGAACTCTGAACTAGAAATACATTTACTTTCTTCTTTCTCACTAAACAGAGCATGACAATACACTTGGCATTCCATAAAATAAAACAAAACAACTCGATAATAAAATGCCATCTCCCCATTCTTTACTTACCCTACCATTACTAATAACAGCCATTTCTCCCGGAAGCAATTTAAGAACTTCCTGACAAAATGCTTGATGAGTCTGAATCATATCAACCCCCAGTGTATTGTATTTCTTCTCAAGAGCATCAGCATCCATGGCCTGGAATATAAAGTATAAAAGTGCAGTCCTAATTAGAAAACTACATAAGCATGTTTAAAACTTTTCTCTACTGAGAATTTAGATACATAATCCAGTTTTGTAACTGATGCTATGCTTCAAAGTAACTAAGAGTCTTCTGGAATCTGTTATACAGTAATTCTTTCTTTAAAATAAAAGTGCATACATAGCTTCAAGAACCAAGCACTTTTAAGGCATTTGTTTTGAAAAGTAACTTTTTTAGATATTCAGAAAAGCAGAAAAATTATTGGTTTCTGTTTCTATTCTACTGTAACCACCTGCTCCCAAATTATTCTATTTAAATTATTCTCTGTATTTCTACTCTGCCAAATATTCAGCACAGCTAAGAAAATTTTAAAACATTCCAGAAACAATTAACTACTAAAAGTTTAGAAAACAGATGGAAGTGTTACAGTTTTTGTAAATGCCAGCAGTGAGGGCCAAACGTCAATCCTGGGAGAATATATTTGTATAATTTGGGAGCAATGCAGAAGAAAGCCCTATATCTTGAAATGACACTCTATTTATTTATTTGTTAGATATATATTCTGCCTTTCTCCCAGGAACAATCCCTTCCTCTCAGGTGGGTTGGACTGAGATGCAATGACTGGCCTAGATTCACCACTTGAGTATCTATGTCTAAGGATGGATCTGAACCTTGATATCCCACATTCTTAGTCCAACACCTTAACCCAGGAGTCTTCAAACTTGGCCCTTTTATGACTTGTGGACTTCAACTCCCAGAAGTCCTCAGCCAGGCATGCTGGCTGAGAAATTCTGGGAGTTGAAGTCCACAAGTCATAAAAGGGTCACGTTTGAAGACCCCTGCCTTAACCATTACATTGCACTGGCTGATGCCATATATGTAGAACTCTATTGGGTGATAATTTGATGAATTGCCACCAAACACACATAGAAGGATACCTATCTGTATGTACAAGAACATCCTGTAGTTGCAACATGACTACAATAGTATATAAACATATTATAGAAATAGGTTGATATACCTTTTAAAAATAAATGATATTAAAATCAAAATTTCAAAATCCAGTGATATTAATAGAAACCGTTACATATGCTCTGCCAAAACTCAGCTAAGCACATAATTAGGCAACTACTAACCGGGAAAAAAAACTTTTTAATTTTAGTTCCTTCAGCAAGGGCCTTTGCTGTCTCCTCCTTAAGAATCCGACCAAGAAAGTTTTTCAAATGAACATTTTTCTGGGTTAAAAATGCTGCCATGATTGCTCTTGCAATAATAGTGCTGTCTTCTGTTATTTTTGAAGTAGGATTATTCACAATCCCAAGCCGAATATGACTGCTGGTTTTCTGTAAAATAAAGGTAGGTTACAAACTATGTCAAAAAACTACAGCCAGAGCAGTATTTAGTTTTCTTGAGATTCAGAAAAGCTGAGAAGAGAATAGAGTCTAGCATGCCAAGTTTAAAAAGCAATGTTTACTTTGTAAGAACCAGATACAGTAAATAGATACTTATTTTAAAGAGTTTATTGCCTGCTTATCCTCCAGAGTTCTAGGTGACTTCCTTCAGCAATAAAAACACAGAAACAGCAGAAATTCCAGCCCATATTCTGAATGTCAACATTAAGATGTACAGCTCAGGGCAGGAATCTTATTATTTCTACAATTTATAATCTTTCACTATCATAAAGGAAATTTTTGCTCTAACATTTTCTTATAAAGAAAATGTGTAATGTGCAATCCCCTGTCCTCTTTGTTTCAATTACGCAGAATTCTCTTTAACTTCTTAAACAAAAGTTTCTATGGGCAAAATTTCTCTTTTGGGGCATTACAAATGCATAATCACTGTCATATGTAATGTTTTTATGTAGTAACTAAACTTTTCACAAGTTTCTTTTGTTCTGTAAAACATTATTTTGAGGAAAGGACACAGCTTTAGCTGCAATCATTTTCTGGCACATTATCTCCCATTTGTATTTCTTCTCCAAAATTGACTGAGGAAAATTATTTATATGATGTAGACACAAGAATTGTGAAGAACTGACCAAGTGTTTCAGTGCAGTAGAAAGCAATTGCCTTCCATCTGGCTTGTCATAATCAGCCACAATCCATATGGTTACTGGATAGATTAAAGCATCATCTGAAAAAAAAAGGCAAGAATTTCTACTGTTCAATATAAGTGATCAAAATGGAAAATGTATCAGCAAAAAAACTGTAGATTATTTTAAGAATAGGCAGAAGGCTAATCAAGAATTATTGGTAGACCTCTAAGTGATCCACAATATTTTTACAATACTGAATAATGAATCCCTGAATGTGACTTTAGGGATGTACAGTATTTGGATCCCAAGCACAGAATTCTGATTTTTTTGCTAAATTGCAAAGATAGGCAACTGTTTTTTTAAAAATCTGTAGCTGAGGACTTTGCCCCCCCCCCATTCTTTTTAAGTTTTATGGGCATATTGAGTATCCCTGCCAGCACATAATCTCCAAAAATAAAAGCAAAATAGAAAATTACATCGATTGTATTCCATTAGCAACTGACAAGTAATAATTATAAAATGTTGTTTTAAAGTCATAATGTATGCAAGATTTAACACAAACATACTTTTTATGAAAGCTGAAATGTCCTTAGAAATGTCGTCCAGATAGATAGTGTTTTTTCATAAAATGTATTTATTGACATTTAACTCTCCTTGATTCTTTATGAGAGAGGACTTAGAAATTCAGGTTCTCTTATAGATTTCATGAACCTGAGCCTTGAAGAGCTTTTACAACAACCCAGAGTCAGAAACTTAATTAATTACTAGTGCAACTCTCAAAGTAGAGGTATTGCATTAGGCAAATCAAAGTGTACCTATAACTATTTAAATTCTGGCATTCTGGACCAACTGTACCTTCTGAGTGGTCTTCAAGAGCACGGAATGAGACAACTCTCCATAGCCAACTCACCATGGCCAACGCAGTGCAGGACAACTTGCTCCAGGATAAGAGTTACATTAATATCGAAGAAATGGTGGAATAGAATCATTAAAGAAAGGATGCACAAGGAGGAACAAAATGAAATGTGAATGACAAAAATTAAAATATTTTTTAAATTATTTTAAATACTTAAATTAAATTGTTGAATTGTTCTGCAGCAAGTTGTCCCGTGATGAGTTGGCCACGGAGAGTTGCTCCATGGTAAGTTGGTTGTGGCGAGTTGGCTGTGACGAGTTGGCCATGCCAAGTTGTCCTAGACCCTCAAGGGCACCATGTAGAGGGCATTAAAATAACCCAAATGGAAGATGATTAACACAAGTAGTAGTAGTGAGAAGTGCCTTCTGCCCAGAAAAGGTTCTAACTGGCACACCAGATGAATTTGTGCATAGGCATTCCTGACCATAGCCGCGATCTGCTGTTCAAGAGCCTCAAATTATGATCCAGTTCAATATGGAAAAGCAATATACCATTCATAATCAGAAATGCAATTTTCCTGGAATCAGATGGGTTCTGAACCTACAATCACTTTGGTTCTCTGGGATTAAGCCTAAATTTGTTCCTCTTCATCCAGATTCTAACAGCCTCGAGTACTGTAACAGTACCTTGATGGCATTTCCTGTTCAGTCTGGGGATGAGATGTATAACTGGTTCTCATCAGCAACTTAATGATACCCAATCCTTTGCTGATGCATAAACTTCCTGAGTGGTTTTGTGTAAGTATCAACCATCCTGGGTTATGATGTTACAATCAGTATGTAAACAGAATCAGTAATAAGATTAAATGCAATAAAGATTACCTTGCTTTGTAACATAATTCATGTTTTCAGAAATAACAAATGTTTTATCTTGAGAGTCCAAGAAGAAAAACGTTGAGTAGTCATTTACATCTATAGGAACTGCAAAAAATTCAAGATGTGGCATCACATCAAGCACGATATCAAAATGAATTCCCCACAAATAAACAAGAGAGAAGAAACAACGCATTTAGTTTACCTGATGGGGATTCAAAATTCAAGTATCTTTTTTCATCACCAAGAATTATATCATTTATATGAGAAACTACATTCTGTTGCTCCATGATGAAATCAACCGCATCTTTATGATCATTTAGCAAGCCCTATAATCAGAATAAGAGTTTAATTTCCACAGCATTAACAGTTTTAAATATAGCTTCCTCTTAACTTGAGATCAGGGTATGCAACCTCTGCTGGGTGAATGGGTATCTTAGCTTAGCTTGATTTTACCAAGCCATCTGGTACCATAACTAAGCATTACCTCCCTTCCAGCACAAACATGTAGAGAAGGCCTGGAAAACTTGGGTTTTCAAGACACTTTTTTTAACCTTCCGAAAACAGAAAGAAAGCTATTCTGCATGATAAACCATAGTTGATAGTTTAATGTAATGTGTGATCTGAGTCAGCTATGAGGAATTCAGCAAATATGATAGAGCAAGCTACAGCTTAGTGAATCATGAGAAATGGGTTTCATGTCTGACTTAAATATGAAGCACAGAATTGAACACTTTCTCCTCTTTCACTACCTTAAATAGAACATTTTAAACATCTATTTCTAAAGGGTGCAATGGCTCCAATCATTTTAAAATACGACAAGTACATTAGTTACATTCTAAGATGTACGCAGATGACACCCAGCTGTACATCTCCACCCCGGAGCACCCCAACGATGCCGCGGAAGTGATGTCCCGGTGCCTGGAGGCCGTGCGAGTCTGGATGGGGAGGAACAGGCTTCATCTCAACCCGTCCAAGACCGAGTGGCTGTGGTTTCCGGCGTCACGTCATAGCCAGTTGGTTCCATCTCTGGCTATTGGGGGTGAGTCATTAGCCCCCGCGGAGAGGGCCCGCAACCTGGGCGTCCTCCTGGATGCTCGGCTGTCTTTAGACGATCATGTGACGGCCGTGGCCAGGGGGGCTTTTCATCAGGCTCGCCTGATACGCCAGTTGCGCCCCTTTCTGGATCGGGACGCCCTACGCACAGTCACTCAAGCCCTCGTTGTTTCCCGCCTGGNGCTCCATGGCAATGGACCTAGGTATTTGCAAGACCGCCTCCTACCAAACACCTCCCTTCGACCAGTCCGCTCTCACAGAGAGGGCCTCCTTAGAGTGCCGTCGGCCAGACAATGCCGGCTGGCGACCCCCAGGGGGAGAGCCTTCTCTGTGGCAGCTCCTGCCCTCTGGAATGACCTACCCCCCGACCTACGTACAGTTGCGGACCTGCGCCTTTTTCACTGAGCCCATCTATTCCGTGCGGCCGGCCTGGCGTAGTTTGATAATGTTTTAGTGGGGGGTTTTGTATGGGGTGTTTTTAGAACAGGCCTGTTATTTAATTTGATTTTAGAACAGAAACTATTTATTTATTATTGTGGTTTTTATTATCGCCTGTTCACCGCCCTGAGTCCCGTAAGGGAGATAGGGCGGTATATAAATTTAATAAATAAATAAATAAAATAAATTTATTTAGTTATTTATTTATATACATTTATTATTTTTACAAATAACTGAAAGTAGCGAACACACCTAACAAGTGTTCTTCTTCCTATTTTCCCAACAACTCTGTGAGGTGATTTGGGCTAAGAGAGAGTAACTGGCACACGATTACCCAGCTGGCTTGCATGGCTAAGGCAAAAGTTGAACTCACAGTCTCCTGCTTTCTAGTCTGGTGCCTTAACCACTAGACCAAAAATCAGTACAGATTAAGCTTCAAAATCATGACAACAAATTAAAATAATTAAATGTTTGCAACATTAACTCCAAACCACTTCTTTATGAAATATGTATCATATAAACATAGCTGAAGCCCAGCGTTTCTCAACCTTGGCCATTTGAAGATGTGTGGACTTCAGCTCCCAGAATTCCCCAGCCATTCTGGGAGTTGAAGTCCGTCAGTCTTAAAGTTGCCAAGGTTGAGAAACACTGTATTAGCCCATATTTCATTGGACATTCCTGTCTTCTAAAGGGAAAAAAAAATACATACCATGGACACTGCCCGCTGAAAGGCCTCTGTGGCATCTATGATCTTCAGCAGAGAGGTCTCTAGTTCTGCAATATTCATCTCTTTTCTGTTAAAAGGCACACCATTAAAGAGAGCTTGAGGCAATGGGCCCAGGCCAGTCTTCTTATAAAACATTGCTCCTGCCTAAACAAATCAGGGATGTCACAGTTACACAGAAAATAGCTGATTGTGTGAAAACAGGATTAATATAAAGCAAAAACAGACTCAAAGCATCCATAAACTGCACAGTGGAAGAATAAAATGATTTATTTTTCCCTTTCAACAATATTCCCCAATCTGATGCCTCCAGATATATTAGACCAGGGCTTTTCAACCAGTGGTACGGGTACCAGCTGTGGTACATTGGCACCTGGAAGGTGATACGCGACCATCCTAGAAAAGTGGTAGCAGGGAAGGGGAATGAGCTGAACCGGTGACAGCACCGCACAAGCCTGAGTGAGAGATGGCTGGAGCTGCAGGGCTGTCAGGGCTCAGTGGAAGCGTCAGGATCAGTGCCGCTTTCCAGCTGATTGGTGCTTCTTCGGGGCTGTCAGGGCTCAGTGGATGCGCCAGGATCAGCGCCAGGCTCCAGCTGGAGCTCGGCGCTGATCCTGGTGCTTCTGCTGAGCCCTGAATCAGCTGGAAAGCAGCACTGATCCTGGCACTTCTGCTGAGCCCAGAAGAAGCGCCGATCAGCTGGAATGTTGCAGCATCTCCAGGGTCTTGTGATTTACATTCAGATGCTTGGCAACTGATTCATATTTATGATGGTCACAGTGTCCCAGGGTCATGTGAAGTGACCAAAACCTGCTGCAACCACCCAGCAGACGGGGGGAATAAAAACCAAACACCCCCCCACCCCACCCCCGCTGCCAATCCTCAACAGAAATGCTTGAAACCTTGGACAGGAGGAAGAGCGCTGCCAGGCACTGTCTTGCTCGGCTGTGGCTTGGGGGGCACTTTTTTCAGTGCCATTGTAACTTCAAACAGTCACTAAGTGAACTGTTGTAAGTCGAGGACTACCTGTACTTTATCACTTTTTTCCTTTTTTTTTTTTTTGGTCATCAAGTTTTTGACACCCTGCTAGACGACTGGTGGTACTCGGATGTTGCCATATCCTAAAAGTGGTATAATAGGTGAAAAGGTTGAAAAGCTCTGTATTAGACTACATAGCTAATGTAACTCAAGATTAGTTTAAGAATGGTACCAGATGAAAGAAGGAAGACTTTCTAGAAAGCAATTTTGGAGGTGGGGAGAGAAAGCTCTGGACTGCCAGAAGAGAATCTGGTTTTCAAAAAAATGTTTGACAATTAAGGACAGCCAACTAGGACTCAAAATACTTTTGTTTAGATTAACATGGCTTAGTCCAATAAGTATTAGAATTATGTAATTTTCTGATCTTTGATATCAGGATGCTATTGAAAATTATTTGAAGATATTTATGATGGCGACTATTCCCAGCTAAATTATCTCTTGCTATATGGATATTGTGGGATAAGAATCTGGGGACAAAGAAATAATGAGCTTCCTCATTTATCGCCCCCACAAAAAAAATTCAGTGCCTGACACAAAGTAGCTGACCTGTGTCTTCACTTATGAAGACACCAAGCTATTAATCTTTTAGGGTTTTTTTGTATTTCATTTTGCAGCTTTCAACTCTTTCTACCTTTCTCTTGTCATCATATTCAGAGTCCAGACCCAGGATCTCCTCCACATCAGCTTGAGGAAATTGTCTATGAAGAATACGCTTCACGTTGTGCACTGAAAGGATTTCTCCCTCGTCTACTTGACGATACATCTAATTGAAGAGAGCAAAAGAAAGATAAATGATACAATAGATTCTACTGTTACAATACAGTAGAACATTTAATAATATTTAGATTGCATTCCATTTTTATTATTCATACTATAAATCAGGGGTCCTCAATCTTGGCAACTTTAAGACTTGTGGACTTCAACTCCCAGAATTCCTTAGCCAGCTGGGAGTTGAAGTCCACAAGTCTTAAAGTTGCCAAGGTTGAGGACCCCTGCTATAAACAGTTTTGAAAAGGTCCTATCATCCAGTCACAAGTTCATCCTTATTAGTCAGTTTTTAACAGTAATGTCTTCAACCAACCATACTTCAATGCACTCTCACCCATTTCTGTACTTTCTAAGGAAAAGTATAATGCATATATTAAACTAGTAATTATTTTCCATATCAATCATGAAAGGCAACCAACCATTTACATTCAACCAGAGCAAAAAAAATAATAAATTTCAGCCATATTAAAACTTTCATAGCATGTGAGAAAATCTCTGTAAGTTAAAAAACTGTGTAAGTTAAAATGTGGGTGTACAATCTCACAGTTCTAAATTAACCACTGCAGGTTCAATTAGAAATGAAGGTATTTCTATTACTAGCATACAATTTTATATATTTGTTTATCATCTCCTTATAAAAGAATGGGCTCTTGCTGACTTCAAGATGTCTAAAATTAGGGAGCTCATATTTAACATTTTATTCTATTGCTTCCAATTTACCTGAAATGAATTGGAAATTTTGTTTTAAATTTCAAATATCTTCAATTCCCATCCTGTTCTAGGACCATATTAATTCAATTAACTAACACCTACTTCTCTAAAAATCATTGGCTTACAGTTCTGTTCTGAATTCCATGTCCTCCAAAATAGAGCTTTTATAATTTATGAAGATTTAAATGAATTACTTGAAGATAAATATCTTTTCTGAGGTAGTCGGATTTTTCTTGATGATGTGCCTGAGGCTTCTAAGAAGCTCATGGACAGAATAGAAGGCAAATCATAAAGAAACTGGTGTTCTGGATTGGGAATTCACTAGCCTGAACTCATATCTTAAGAAATCATAGCCAGCAATTACTAACCAATGGAATATCTAACAAATATTATTGTAACATCTTTATTCCTCGTTAGAAAAGGAAACTTATTTAGGATGGTACCTAATCAGCCTCCTCCAGAGAAAACACTCACATTGGTTAACTCTCTCCCTTCCCTACTATTTTTCCACATCCAGATGACCTTGCATATAGGCTGCTCTGCTTTGAAGGAGTTATCTCCCTTTTAAAGTTTTTTTTTTAATCTTGTGCCTCTCAAGGGTTCACCAATGAATGTCAAAATGTTGTTTCTATTGTTGTCATTTTGGTTCCAATCCCATCAGCTCAGCTACTTGAAATCACTGTTAAAAGGACTGATAGCCTGAATAGCCAACAATATCCATTTAAGCCATCTCAAATAGTGAATATTACTACTGTACACCATACAATGGCAAATATAATAATGTATTACACATAGTATTTTATTTTGTTGGTCCTGAATCTATTGCAATTTTAGTAGACAATCTCAAGGCTTAAACAATCATGAGACTCTCATTTTACTGACTTAAATCGCCTTTTTGGAAATTCCACCAGAACTGTGCAATTACTCAATGGAAGGTCTATGGAGTGTCTTCTTCCTATAATTTCACAGCCTATTTAAAATTGTATATTATCTTTAAAAGATCAAATCCACTTCCTTCCTTTGTTTCTCCCTGAATATTTAGGTCGGCCATATGCCTGGACCTTATAAAAAGAACAACAATATGGGTTTATACAAAGGATATTTAAATGCTAGCAGTTTTGAGACCCTTATCTAAGTATCCTAATATGGATACCCCATTCACTGTGCCAGGATTTTTTTTTTCTTCATTAAGTTTCATATTTTGCCCTACCATGGAATACAGAAAGATATGTCATAATGCTCATTGGCTTTGAGATATTCTTTATACACCTTATATATGTGACACTTCCTGTCTCTGCATCTCAATTTATGTGCATGATTATTTGCAAACTGCCCAGAGTCACAGAGGTTTTTAGCAATGCTATCCTATGGCTATTTTGCATCTCAAAGAAAGTAAGGCTAACCTTAAATAAAGCAATATTTTAATCTTCTTACAAACACTAACATAAAGTATGGAGACAAAAGCTTGAGGGATATCCACTTCATCTGCAATAAAGTTAAAAGCTCTCCACAGGGCAACTCCTGCGTCGTCATTTCCATCAACCACTTCATCAGTATTTAAGATGAAAACAAAGCCAAGTCTGCTCAGGAAGAAGAAAAATATTGTGAGAATGGCAAAATCACATTTAACTACACTGAAAACAGATTAAATATAGCTATACTAAAAAACAGGAATGAAGGCGTATCCCAGGATGAAGTTGCAGGATCCAATCTGTACTAAAAAAAACCCAGGTTAAAATGTGTCATTTAGGCCTTCATCAAGAAAGATAAGTCGTAATCTTCCAGCAAGATTCAAAAATATTAAAATGAACACAAAGTTAATATTTTGTGCCAATCTAATAGAATCACCTTTGATAGAATGTAAAGTCCCAAATGAAAGTTTCTTCAAATCACTGATGAGAAGCATACCATGATTTGAATTTCCAAAATTATAGGAGATAAATTATTTGGGATTGCTTTTATCATTATTCAGCTTTATGAATGTGTAAATTCATCCTTAAATTCCTCAATATTTCTCAGTTTTAGTGTAATGAATGTCTATAGAAATTGTCTCTCTAGCTGAAATTTTGACATGGAGGAGCCATTCTGTCAGACATTAACAACCTGTCCAACATTGCTGAAAGTGATTGCAGGTTCCCTGTATTCTTTGCTCCTATCCAGTTCCTCATATTTTTAATTTGATTTGATTCTACACAACTGGAAATATAAGTATGCAAAAACTATTTATGTGCACACACATAAATATATATAATCATATTTAAATACATACAGATAAATATATATTCATATTCCAATGGTAGAACAAATATTCTAGACTGCTCTAGAGTAGCCTTTTTTATACTAATTCTATAGATACGTTGAACTTTCAAAATTCCTGCACAGTATGATGCGAGAATCCTTCAGAATTAAGTCTCAACATTCCAGGAAGCTTGCAAGTTTGGGGGAAACTCTTTTGTAAATAGAACTAGAAGGATGAATGGAGACTGATCATGGAACAGTGTTATAATGAAGCTATGATATTAAAGTTCTTAAAGAATATGTTTTTCTTGTATCCATTTAAATGCAGTTACATTCAGAGAGACATACTACCTGTTCAACAGAAATAACTGAAATCTGTGGAAATGTAGTATTTACCCAGAATAAATACCAATCAACATATCAATGTATTAAAATCTCTCATTTCTATTTTGTTGACTTGTTGAGAAATTGCAATTAATGAATCATGAAGGATTGAACATCAATGGATATATGTTGCCCGAGCTCTCCTCCCTTTTGTATTAATCAATACTCATATAGGGAAACTATACAGCATAACATCGTACTAACTCTATAGTTTTGTTTTGTTTTTGCCACAATTCATAAAATGAAGACAAGGAAGAGAAATTCCTTTACTATTTTAATCTCAGATAGAATTTCACTGTTAATTTACCTTAGAGGTACTTTCTGAGTGTAGATTAATTCAATTAGTTTAATGAAACCAGCCGCTTCTTCCTGGAGAGGGTCAATAAAAAGGACCTACAAGAGAAGAAAATTTTATACATCCATGATTTATACTCTCTTCATACCTTCTACTTCCTCTACTCCTGTACAATGAAAGCCCCAAGGAAGCATTCAAGGATAAACTGTGAAACGTCAGTTGGCGCAGACTGTCCTGGTTCATGCACTCAATAGGACCAGATAATTAGAACCCATTATGCCATTTCTGTGCCAGCTGCTCTACTTACCTGCATGTCTTGGGGCAAATAAAATTGCAATTTTAGAAACATAAATGGTTTGGAACAGATTAGTTGAAAAACTGTTTAAGCTTTAACATATATTTAAGATCTAGACTGAAGAATCTGCTCAGATTCCCACCTTTAACATTCATTCCTCTACTGAATATAGGGACAGAAGCTTATCAATAATGGTAGCTACAACTCCGGGGAATGTGTGACTGGCTCTCCCTCTGTGGTATTTATAGAAGTTCTGAAAATCCATTGTTTCCTTTTACTTTAATCTACTGTCTTTGCTACAGCATAAGATGTTATTTTAAACTATATATTTATTTTTGATTTTTGCTGCATGACTTAGATCAGGGGTAGTCAACCTTGGCTCTTTTATGACTCGTGGACCTCAACTCCCAGAATTCCTGAGCAGCTGTGCTGGCTCAGGAATTCTTTGAGTTGAAGTCCATGAGTCATAAAAGAGCCAAGGTTGATTACCCCTGACTTAGATGGACTTCTTTTGGGGTTAATTAAACAAATGATTCTGAAGTGACAATTTTCTGATTACTAACTAACTATGCCTGATTACTAATCAAATTACAATGGCAGGCTCCCATTACTGAATCTTCTGAGAGTTTTCTTGATATTTTTCTTTGATACTGATGGCAGAGAGAAAAGTCTCCACCTTTCCAGGCCACTGACATATTTGTAATCAAAGTGGATAGAAGCTTCTTCAAGAGAAGAAAATTTGGGGAATTACAAATTTACATTGGAGAGGAACTATCCCAGTCAAGAGGAAAGGACAAAGAGGAATTAGTATGGAGTCCTTAATATGAGGTTCTTTGGCAACAAGAGGACAAGGTCTGAACACACACACCCTTGAATGCCAATGAACTTTATCTAATCTTTCCCAGGGGAAAGTTTCCAGCCTGAGAAGATTGGTGTGAAATAGGCATTGAGCAATAAAGTATCTAATTTGTACTTTATATATGTGAGTCTAGTTGTTCACGCCTGACATTTATCACTTCAGAAAGAATTGATTCAAATACTATTAATATTTTAGACCACAGTGTTTGCCCTCAATTCAACACACATGCAAAAGAAACTGGGCCTGAACTGAAATTTTAAAAGCTTGGAATGAACCCTAACAACTGAATTTACTCAATTAAACATGAAAATAAAACCAAGGGACCTCACTTGGCATGCTATCACACACTGGTTCTCTCAGATGTGTGCTGGTAGAATAACTTTTAGTGAAAACGGTACTTGAATGTAAGTTTATAACACTAAATTAAATAAATTATATGCCACCTAAGATACAATAGTTTCAATATAGTCATAAAATTTGCTTAGAATTGACACAAGCAGGCTTTCTTGTACCACAGACTTAGACTTGTTAGGTTCTCTAAAAAACACAATTTGCTGAGAGACCTTGGTAGTCGACAGAATGCAAATTCACACACACATTCCAGTCAGATGTAAAGAAAAAGCTCACACATCTACCTCACAAATTGTGATCTATTCTATAAATCATGGTGAAACAACCATTGCTAAATGCAGTAGGAAAATGCTGTCAAAGTATGGCTGTGCTTCTGTAAGTATCATCATAGGTGCACTGCTGGGTATACTTTGCGATCATTTCAGTGATGCATTCATAACTACAATATATGGATAAGTGAATAGCGGAACAAAATGTGCTAAGGAAGGGCTTTCTGTGTTTTTTGTATACAAAGATGTAATTCAAATATATCCCTACTAAAAATATTTAAAAGAATGCACACATTATTTTCTCAACAACACACAGACACACATACACATATTTCACTACTTACCATATTATATAAATTCCGTCTAATCTGTCGCATCATTCCTGCATATGCTGGTTTGAGAAGTTCCTGAAAACTTGAAGGCCACTTGTTATACATAGCATCCCTTTCTAGGTTATTGACCCACTAAAAAAAATACAACAGTAATGAGGCACTTAATGAAACTACCATCAAAATTAAACCTTATCAAACACAATGTTCTCATAAGCCCATTTTAATAAAGTAGTAGTCAACATGTTGCAGTTTTAACTTATTATGGGCTTTGCTGTTGACCAGGCACCTGGAAGACAGTGAAGAAACTAATTCTATGGTTAGAATTGGGAGCATATTTAAGGGACTATGTAGGGGAAAAAAACAATAGCAATAGCACTTAGACTTATATACCGCTTCACAGTCTTTACACCCCTCTCTAAGTGGTTTACATAGTTGGCATATTGCCCCCAACAATCTGGGTCCTCATTTTACCGACCTTAGAAGGATGGAAGGCTGAGTAACCTTGAGCTGGTGAGACTTGAACTGCCAAACTGCTGGCAGCTGGGAATCAGCAGAAGTAGCCTGCAGTGCTACATTCTAACCACTGATCCACCAGGGCTCAGTGGTGATCACAGTTTTAGAGATGCTAACACAATGAAAAAGGAGCTGGATCATTTGGGCTGCAATTCTATGGGCATTTATAGGGGAGCATCTGTTATTAAGTAGCCTATGCAGAATGGCTTCATTAACCACCTAGAGCCCCTCTCACCACCCAGTGAAGTTTTTCTTTCTTTCTTTCTTTCTTTCTTTCTTTTTCTTTCTTTCTTTCTTTCCTTCCTTTCTTTTTCTTTCTTTCTTTCTCTTTCTTTCTTTCTTTCTTTCTTTCTCTTTCTTTCTTTTCTTTCTTTCTTTCCTTTCTTTTTTTCTTTCTTTCTTCCTTCCCTCCTTCCTCTTTCTTTCTTTCTTTCCTTCTTTCCCTCCCTCCCTCCCTTTCTTTTTTTCTTTCCTTCTTTCTTTCCTTTCTTGCCATGTGAGAACCATTCACTTCAGATTTTGGTAATTTTTATTGGGATAATACTTAGGCTGCTTTTACACCAACCTGATAAGTTTATTTGTTTTGGCTTGGTGTCCTATATGTATCAAGACATGGGTGTTTGTTTATAAACTGTAGTTTACAGATTAGCATGTTGTATAACTCCAGCCAAAATTATGTAGTCTATTCAATAAAGATATTTAAAGAAATAATGGCTTTGTGAAATGTGCGACCCCAGTTGGAATGTGTTTCCTTAACACAGCAGAAAAGTAACGTTTAAAGAATAAAAAAGATGCCATTCAGGTGACATAAATCAATCTTTAATGGTACTTCCAGAAGGGGTAGCCCCAGCAGGGCACTCTAAGGCCTGGGTAGAATCAACCTTATTTCCAGAAATATTTTCTTTTTTGCATGATCCCAGAAAGGAGTCCCTCCCTATGCCAATTTATATACTGCCTACTAGTATTGGTATTGCCTACTAAAATTAACAGGAAAATTAACAAGGAAAGAATTGTTTTTAAAAGTATCTAAATAAAGACTACTTTCTCCTCAATTTCTGTAAAGCAGCAGAAACCTCCAAGACTGTGGAAATGGCAGAAAAGTGCCATTTTGCTTCTTAGTATTACTCTGTGAAAAGTCCAAATTTTCCAGATTAAATAAGGTTGTTGCCAAAGGCATCACAGCATTTGTACTTTATAACTCAAACCAAGGATCTAGTGGCACTTTAAAGATTCATATGCACAAAAATATTACTTACGACAATTGCTGAGTGACGAATGTCTAATGCGTAAGATGCATCCTGAGATTGGGAAGCTAATCTCATGAATTTACTCGGAAAATCTTCCTTAATTCCAAGGGAGTGAAGAACGTGCATTGCTTTTCCTTCTATCTTCAGAGTTTCTAAAATGCTTTAGACAAGTATATTTTATATGTAATACTGTACAGAATAATCCAAAGAATAATAGCTAAAGAAAGAAAAATATTGGTGGCTGTCTTTCTCCCCCCCCCCCCCACTGGTACCTGGTCAATAGCTGAGTTCGTTTCTCAATAAAGCACCTTAAGGAATAACAAAACAATCACACAGATCAAGCAGCAATAGGAATTTAAGGTCACCGGAGTATTATTATTCAAAGGCTTTGAAAAATAAAATATTTTTGCTTGATGCTGAAAACACTGTGCAGGTGCACCTCCCGGGGAAGGGGATTCCAAAATCAGGAAGATGACCACTGGAAAGGCCTGCTCTTGGGAAGCAATCCTCCATAACTCAGAAAATCTTAGGGTAGCAATAGCAATAGCACTTAGACGTATATAATGCTTTACAGTGCTTTACAGCCCTGCCTAAGCAGTTTACAGAGTCAGCATATTGCACCCAACAATCTGGGTCCTCATTTTACCGACCTCGGAAGGATGGAAGGCTGAGTCAACCTTGAGCCTGTGAGAATTGAACTGCCGAACTGCTGGCAGTCGGCAGTCAGCAGAAGTAGCCTGCAGTATTGCATTCTAACCACTCTTCCACCACGGCTCTTATATGTATATATGGGAAGAAGTGTTCTTTCACTTAGGGTTGGTGCAAAGGTGGTGTGTTACTAAAGGCAGGTGGGCGATGGGATGCTGCAGTGCTCCACAAGCAAGAATGGACAGGTGTGGGGTGCTGTGGCACTGTGCAAGCACAGCTAGGCATGCATGCACTACATAATGTAGATGTGGGGTACCGTTGGCAGATGAGCACTACAGGGATCTTGTACTCCATAGCAGCTCCTCGGGGAAAAGAGCAATGGGATTGGGACCTTCCCTTCGGGCTTACCCATTGGCTTTACCTGTGAGAACCTGACAGGGAAGATCGCAAAGGGTAATCACGAGACCTCGATGATTGATGCTGCAACAGCAGGATCTTTGATGACTGGTCGTAAGTACCACTCATTCAGCACCATCACAACTCTGAATGAACAGTCATTAACTGAGGACTACCTGCATTGCAGCTTTAAAGGGGCAAAAAGGAGCTCAAACTAGTATAGCTTTCTCAATAGTGAATGCTCCAGGCATGTTGGGACTGTAATTCCTATTCAGCAAGGCCAAATTTGGGGAGCTGGACATCCTAAGCATCACCATAGGAAAATGGGTTTTACTAATGTACAGCTCTATTGGATATGGTAAGAAGTTTCACATACTAAATGCCATTTCTTTGGTTTTTAGGACTGTCATCTTATACTTGCAATACTGATTTGAACAATTACTGTTTTGGACACTAAAGGAGATGATGTAATAAATTAGTTAACAGCATTCACCAACAATTTGTTGTTTCCCATTCTGAACTATTCATTACAGAACAAGATATTAACATTTGTTTTGGAGTAAGGAGCAATCAAATACAGATTACTGAACATTCTGGATAGTAACCAAGCTGCAAAATACTTAAAATACCTAAAGGGATCGCGAAGATCCAAGTCTATTGGAAGGCCATTTAAAAATAAACGTGCTTCACCAGGCTTAAGTTCAAGAGATTCATGCAGATGCTGGAAAAGAAAGGAAAAGTTTACCATGAATTAACTAGCCATTTAAAACAAAAAAACAAGCAAACAAATGGGATACCAACATACTTCAAATGGGAGCAGTGTTATATTCATTTGAAATGAATCAATGTTAACATCCTATTTATTTTTCAAGAGAAGGAGATATTCTTGATTTCTGCAAAACAAATCTGATACTAAATATTCCTTAATGAGATTTTAGAAGATTAATGATATTTACATATTCACAGTTTCCATCAGATAGGTTTAAAACTGCTTTGACAAATTATAGGCCACAAATTTACATTCAGCATTTGTCATGAAATGTATCCCAATTATCTGAACAAATTAGGACAGCTCCTTTCTCTTTCTTAAATCTAAAATTTTAAAAATTCTTGCTGAAATTCCTGGTTTCATCTGTCCCAGCCTTCTCCAACCCAAAGCCTTCTGGAATACAGAATACGACAACTCGCCTTGGCCAACTCGCCATGGTCAATTCACACAGCCAATTTGCCACAGCCAGCTCACCAGGGCCAATTTGCCATAGGACAACACACTACGGCCAACATGCCGCGGGGCAACTCACTGCAAAACAATTCAACAATTCAATTTAATTATTTAAAATAATTAATTTTTGTCATTCACATTTCATTTTGTCCCTCCTTTGACATCCTTTAATTATTATATTCCACCATTTCTTTGATATTAGGGTAACTCTTGTTCCGCAGCAAGATGTCCTGGGGCAAGTTGGCTATGGCAAGTTGACCATGGCAAGATGGCCATGGTGAGTTGACCATGGCGAATTGGCTGCAGCAAGCTGTCCTAGACCCTTCTGGATGTATTTGGCTACAATTCCAAGCATTCACAGGCAATCCACATCTGGGGGCTAGGAGATTCGAAAGACTGATTCTGCCCCTATTTTATCCCACCATGATTCAGTCTGAAGGACATTACTCCATCTTCCTCAATGGGAAGACTAAACCTGGATAAAATGATGTTGCTTTACTTCAGTGTTTCTCAACCTTGACAATTTTAAGGCATGTGGACTTCAATTCCCAGAATTCCACAGCCAGCATTGCTGGCTGAGGAATTCTGGGAGTTGAAGTCCACATGCCTTAAAATTGTCAAGGTTGAGAAACACTGCTTTACTTTCTCATATTAAATCAAAATTATTTAAAGGCATATGATGAAATATTCTCAATTCTGATGTTTTTTAAAAAATGCTTCAGTCAGAAGAATTATATTTCAAATAGTAACAAATAAGTAATTATGATAATTTCAGTTCTTTATAAAACTTCATATAAATGACCTCTAATGTGAAAGATATAAGTAATTGCAATAAACATTAAAAAATGGTAGCTGAGCTTTCACATTATATTCCATCCATATTAAGTAGTTCCATATTAACTATCAGCTTTTTTCTGTTATCAAGTTACGTTGCTCTCCAGCCAACCTCTTCTACAGTCATGATCTTCTGTCAATAGTTATGCTGGTTGGAAATAAGTACTAAGTAAGTACTAGACTGTCTATGAAGATTCTCAGTCATCCAAGTCATAGTTGTACCAAAAGTGGTTTTTATTTTTGAAAAAACAACTGGACTGATTTTGTTGAGGAAAAGAAGACATTTTACTTCCTATCCTGAAAGCTTCAACAGTTGTATTGTATCCTATGGGAGATGGAGGGACAATAATTGTCAATAATTGTTCTTCCATATCCCATAGCATCCAATACAACTAATGAGGCTTCTAGGTGTGAAAGGAAAAATATATTAATAATTCTTTTTGCATAAATCAAACATACTTCTTTGATAGCCAATTAAAATAAAGGCCTGCTGAGAAATACATAGCAAAAGAAGGAATTGTGACCTTTGAACTAGATGGTGAAATATTGTTGTCAGCACACATTTCCTCATGTAAGAAAAACACGGAGCAAGAAAGTACAAGAATTAAGGAACTGAGCCTTGTTCATGGATAAACCTTCTGCAATGACACATGTAGAAAGGGTAGTGAGGAAAGTAGTGGTAAGAGCAAGGACAAGGAAGAACAGGAGACTGGCTCAGACGCCAGGGTAACAAAGGAAGAACAGGGAACTAACCCAGTGGTTAGTTCCAGGAAAAAGGAACTAGTAAAGGTTCTGTTCCAGAAAGTCACAAGTTGATGGTTTTAACAAGAAAAAGGAAATGGGATGGCTAATGGGTGGTTCTAAGTACTAAGGTATAAAATATGCCTTGAAAGATAGGGCCATTGCCATTTGGCCACTAAGCCGTCACACCTAATGACTGCTGGTGCATTTGGCCCTTACTGCAATAAGTTGTTGAAATGTAAGTACTGAATTTGTGTGTTAAATTTAAATAAATTTAAATAAACCTCGGATCCTAAAGTGAGGATTTTGTTGTGTGTCTCTTGTTTCAATTAAATAAGTTTTCCCCCTGACACAGGGTAGGAAGCAAATGAATGACAGGGAAAAACCAAAGTGGTGACTATATATTTCCTAAGAAACTTGGTTTCTAAACCAAGTGCCCTTTAGATTTATTGAATTATTAATTCCATAATCTCTAAACAATGCTTGTTCTGGCTTCCAATAATGGTATGGTAGGAGATTTGGAGACTGCTAAGTTGAAGAAGGCTATCCAAAGTATTGAGATCAGATAAGAAAAGGAAATAGCTATCACAAATATCAGAATATTCTGAAATGCATTCATAAAGACGCTACCTTCATGAATGGTGGTGGTCAATACCATTGAAACATAAAGTACTAAAATAACAGAAAATTTAAAAGAACTATTCATTAGGGACCAACACTTTTTACATCTTCAAAAAAATCAATGCATAAATTCCCTGGAGGGAACAAAATGGTAAGTACTGAACTAATTTATGTTTAACTTCAGAAGTCAATTAAAGCTGTTCAGTCCAAAGCTAAAGCTCAATCCCTGAAGTCCTCACTGGAATATTCATACTCTGATTTTTAGCACTCTTTTTAGGGGGAACTGTAGTTCTTCTGGAGTTTGGCAAATAAAGATATACATTAATCTAGGGATAAAGATGAAATGAGAGATGAAATGAGCAATAATTGAATACCAAGCTTAATTTTTTTTCTAAAAAATGAATATGTTGGAATTCTTTCATTTTTTAAACTTGCATAGTGGCAAAATATTTCCTAAGGTTTTTGTTTTCTTCTGTTCAATTATCTCCAATTCTTAGAGATACCTGGACGTGTCCCTGCATAATTTTTTTTTTGGTGGGGGGGAGATTTTTCAGAAGTAGTTTGCCATCGTCTCCTTTCTAGGACTGAGAGAAAGTGATTGGGCCAAGATTACCTAGCGGATTTTGTACAAGACTAGAACTTACCATCTCCCAGTTTCTATCCTGATGCCTAAACCATTTCCCCAAACTGACTCTCATCTCCTACCGTAATAGTAGGCAGTAAATTCTTTCATTTCATATTTTAAAAAGAGTAAGTACAAACCTTTTGATTTTCTTCTATTTCTTTTCTCATTTGTTGGTTTACTAGCACTCTGGTCAAGGATCTGGATAAAAAAATATGAAGAAATTACTAGGTACAGTAATTGTTCTGTGTTTAAATATTTATTCATCAATGAAGTACATCACAGCACAAGTGTGGATGTAACACTAAACTATGGTTATAGAACTACATGGCTGAAATGTGTTCTACATTGGATTCATGTGCTCTTTTCCACCTCTACACACTACCTCTATGAGAATAGAAATATCAAGTTCCTAATTAAATTTAATGGCAATTTGCTACTATATTAGACTCTTTTAGATTATCCAAAATAATTGCACAGATCTTGCCTATTATCTATTTCCTTAGCTTCTTATGACTATAACTTTGTTGTTTGTATCTCATGATTTATATTGCCTTTATTTAGTATCCTTTTATGATTTATATTGTTTGCTTATTTAGTATCCCATGACTATCACTGAGTTTGTATCTTATGATGAATGATGACTGTATTGTATGATTAGGCACTGGTTTGCCAGTTTTTTTTCTTTCTAGGGCTGAGAGCATCACCCAGCCCGATTTGTGACTGTCAAGCTTGAAGAACGCCTATGCTGTGTCAGCCATTATTGCTTCTTAGCTTGCCTACGAACTCGGGGGGGGGGGGGACTTCTGATATAGAGAAGACAGTTCATGAGAACCAAGGACTTTCAAGATTTGTTTGCTGAGAACTAAAGACATTCTCTCATAATAATTCTTTGACTTATAATTGGATAATGTAACCTGCACTAATGAGGGGAGGGAGATTACTATACTTTTAATATAGCAATTCAGGCGCAAAATAACTAGAGCTGGTTTTCTTTTCATCTGTTCTGAAATGATTTGCCCAATAAAGTTTTACATTATAGAGACTGGATCATCTCAGCTATGCTTACTTCGTTGGGCTCATCAGTTGGAACCTTGACAACTCGTAACCTCCTGGTTTCATATTATATTCCATCTAGATTAAGTAGTTCCATATTAACTATAAGCTTTTGTCTGTTTTCAAGTTAGATTGCTCTCTAGCTGACCTCCACTATAGTCATGATTTTCTGTCAATAGTTATGCTGGTTGGAAATAAATACTAAATTAGACTGTCTATGAAGATTTTCAGTCATCCAGGTCATAGTTGTACCAAAAGTGGTTTTTATTTTTGATTTTGTTGAGGAAAAGAAGACATTTTACTTTCTATCCTGGAAGTTTCAACAATTGTATTGAATGCTATGGGAGATGGAAGAACAATAACTGTCAATAACTGTTCTTCCATCTCCCATAGCATCCAATACAACTGATGAGGCTTCCAGGATAGGAAGCGAAACGTCTTCTTGAATGAATGACAAGGAAAAATCAAAGTGGTGACCATATTTATAAATTCAAAATGATTCCCTTCAGGTGTCAAATATGTTAAGTACACTCCTGCAAATATCAAAGTAGCTATTTTGAAACAAACAAATTTTCGAGCAAGAGACTACTGAACCCACATACATCAAAAGATTTCAGGGTGCCTCAAAAGGTCTTAACAAATACAATTACAATTACTCATTGAAGGACATGTGTACATTTTTCTCTCCCGCACAAATTTCTAAACATTATTCTTATGCTATGGACCAACATTCTTAAACCAAACACAGTGAATCTGACTTCCAAGTAAACTTTCATAATACTGTACCTCAAACAATTTTAGGAGAAAATATGATGGAAACTGGTGTTTTACTCAATTTATATTATTTTTTCTTACTATCTGTTATTCCAGCTTCTGTATTACACATACCACTGGTCGTGTCTTAATATCAATAGCCCATTCTCATGCTGCCTTGTTCCTACAGAAGGTTATCACAGTAGTTCAAAAACTAATGCCAGCTGGGTCTTGTAAAATCAACTAAGCACAAAACAGGATTTGGGATTCAAGACATGGCAGGCAATAGTAATAGCCTACTATCTGTTGGAACAGTAGAAAAAGGCATTAAAATCTTTTAGTTCATCTTTAGTTCATTCTTTTAGTTCAATTGTTGTGCCAGTAAATGGAATAAAATCTGAAAACTACATTTAACATACAAAATACGTAAAGACTTCAGTATAATAACATCAAGGCTTGGTAACATAAGAAATATCACAAGATGGTATCATATATCTCAGAATGTATGAAGTAGTATCACTTGGAACAGAAAGCTGCAAAAATCTACCATTGCAATGTAAGGTCAAATTCCCTAAATTTGGCAATTTGAAATAAATAAGCCATTTAAAACTGAATATTCATAGTTACATGCTGGATTTTCTCATCTGTTTAATTTTATCAATTTTCATTCAAGCTGTTAAAAAAGGAATAACAAAACACATCATCCTCATGCAAATTAAAATAAATCACAATGATAAAGAGGTACAAAATCCAAGCATTCATATGACTATCACAGAAATATATTGTACCTGGCCTTTACCGGGAAGTTCTGTGCGATGTCTTTCATTACTTTTAATGCATTGTAAACAGGGGTAGACAGAATTTGAGAGGCTGCTTGCAAACTAATATCTGAAAGAGAATAAAGCGTTGCCAAAGAACCTCATATTACATTCAAAATTTTGTAAACAGCACAGGTAGTTCTTAACTTATAAGCATTTGTTTAACAACTTCCCTTCAAAAGATGTGGGGGCTCCATCACTGGAGTTTTTTAAGAACATTTGTCGGGAATGGTATAGGATCTCCTGCTTGAACAGGGGATTGGACTAGAAGACCTCCAAGGTCCCTTCTAACCCTCTTATTCTATTATTCTAAAGACTAACTGCTCAAAGTTACAATAGCACTTTAAAAAGTAACCGATGGCTGGTCTTTGCATTTACAACCATTGCAATGTCCCTGCAACCATGTGATCAAAATTTGGGCGCTTGGCAACTGGCACATATTTACAATGGTTACAATGTCCTAGGGTCACATTTGTGACCTTCCCAAGGGGCTTCAATAAGCAAAGCCAATAGGAGAAGCCAGATTCATTAATAATAATAATAATAATAATAATTATTATTATTATTATTATTATTATTATTATTATTATTATTATTATTATTTAAAAAATAGCTGGGAAAGCAGATAATAAGAAGACCTGGCAATGGCTAAGAGCAGGAAAATTGAAGAAAGAGACCGAGGGACTAATTCTAGCTGCACAAGACCAGGCCTTAAGGACAAATGCATATAAAGTCAAAATTGAGAAGACAGCAACAGACAGTAAGTGCCGCCTATGCAAACACGCTGAAGAAACAGTGGACCACCTGATAAGCTGCTGCAAGAAGATCGCACAGACTGACTACAAGCAGCGGCATGACAAAGTAGCAACAATGGTATATTAGAAGATCTGCAAGAAATATCATTTGCCTGTAAGCAAGAACTGGTGGGATCATAAAATAGAGAAAGTCATAGAAAATGATAAAATTAAACTGCTCTGGGACTTCAGAATTCAAACAGACAAGCACCTGCAACATAACACCCCGGACTTAACAATTGTCGATAAGAAAGACAAAAAAGTCTGGATAGTGGACATGGCAATGCCTGGAGGCAGCAGAATAGATGAGAAAGAACTGGAGAAGATAATAAAAGACCTACAAATAGAAATAGAAAGACTGTGGCAAAGGCAAGCAAGGGTAGTACCAATAGTAATAGGCGTCCCAAAACAACTGGAGCACCACTTGAACACCATTGGCATTGACAAATTCGCCATTAGACAATTACAAAAAGCGGCCTTACTAGGAACTGCTTCCATCCTGCGACGATATCTATAATACCATCAAACATCCACATCTGCCTATCCCAGGTCCTTGGTAAGGACTCAATAGGTAGACAAAAATACCAAATCCAGTCTGAACATCTGGCTGACTGTGCGATGATCAATAATAATAATAATAATAATAATAATAATAATAATAGTAGTAGTAGTAGTAGTAGTAGTAGTAGTAGTAGTAGTAGTAGTAGTAGAAAATTTGGAAGGAACCTTGGAGGTCATCTAGTCCAACCCCTGCTCAGGCAGGAAACCCTATACCATTTCAGACAAATGGCTGTCCAGTCTCTTCTTAAAAACTTCCAGTGTTGGAGCATTCACAGCTTCTGAAGGCAGGTTGTTCCACTGATTAATTGTTCTAACTGTCAGGAAATTTCTCCTTAGTTCTAGGTTGCTTCTCTCTTTGGTTAGTTTCCATCCGTTGCTTCTTGTCCTGCCTTCAGGCGCTTTGGAGAATAGCTTGACTTCTTCTTTGTGGCAGCCCCTGAGATATTGGAACACTGCTATTGTGTCACCCCTAGTCCTTCTCTTCATTAAAGTAGACTTAACTTAATAACTGTATGATTCGTTTATGAATATGACAAAAAGGTCGTAAAATCAGGCAAAACTCATTTAGTTGGCTAGCTTCATAAAATGTATTAAACCTCAAAATATGATTATAAACTAAACAAACCCCAAAGATAGCATATGAGGACTTAGCATGTTTTATGCACCCTAATCCACAGGTAAAGTGAACAGATTATGATTTCTGAATCATAATGATTATTAAGGTTCTCTGTGTCAAATACAGAATCAAGTCATGTTCTGGGTTTGTGCTAAACCAAATTTAAAAAATGACAATGCAGGGTTTCACATAAATAGTCAAATCATACTTTGTTACAGTCCAAAGTGAAACTTAGGAAGAAAATAAAAGGACAAATTGGAAACATTGGCTGGCTCTCTGTCCTAAATTACATGGAATTTAGTTTAAGCTTAAGTTCAGATGGACTAAGAACAATAAATCTTAGCTACTTCAATAAAGACTGCTTCCATGTTTCCATTTTGCTAACCAATGTATATAACATAATTGTTATGAGAAATAATGACTAATAATTTATGAAAAAGCCTAATTAATTTTCCTTGATTTCCCTCATCATGTTGTGAATATGACAAAATAGCTTTTAAAGTAGCATTAGTTTTTTATTTTACAAAGATAACATTTCATGATCTATTCTCATGCCCTGTTAACAGCATCAGTAAAGAAAAAAATTGCTATAGGGATTTCAGGCACAGAAGATTTAAATCTTTTCTTCTTTTGTCCTCTTTGCACCAAAAAAAGTCCAGCCTAAACAGAAAGGTCATTCCTTCTTTACTTTTTGGAAAACCATGGTATTTATATTCTTTATACAAGCAGCATACAGACAACTGTTTCCAACTGTAACATGGATTTATTACTGGCACATACTTTTTCACCAAGATGAAAACCAATATAATGAATAATACCTTGTAGTTCCCACAATTTCAAAGGCTCTGTATTATCACTGCTTTCAATCAGGTATTTTTTCAACTCTTTCAGATTGTCTTTGAGATCAGGATGATTCTCCCTGGTTTATAAAATATAAACACAATTAACATTAAAGAGCATTTATACATATGATAAAGAGTCATAGGGCTGGAAGGATATCAAAGGTAATCAAATTCAACTCTCCTGCTTAGTACAATATTTGCTAAAGCATTTTGGACAGATAGCTATCCAGACTTTGTCTGAAGAACTCCAGCGAAGGGGAATACAGTATATCACTTCACAAGTCAGCCAGTATCACCAATTGGAAGCTCTTCCCATCAAGAAATTCCTTCTAATATCTAATTTAAGTCTATTTCCATGGCACAATCTATTTCAATTACTGGTTCTGGTCCTGCCCTCTGGGGCATGAGAGAACAAGTCTATTCCCTCTTCTGTATGTCAATTATTTAAATATTTATGCATTTTATAGTTTTTAAACCCACCCAACTAAAAAGATTCTAGACAGGTAAATAAATAAATAAATGCAACAACAGACTAAATCAAAGTTATAAAAAAATCCACAGTGATAACAAATCAACCCTTCCCAAGGAGAACACCACTAAAACTTTGCCTTTTGCTAAAATTAAGACTGTTCTTTAATATTGTTCCTTTTTTTCCAAAATACACTAATAGAAAGTACATGTTGCAAATTAATAATTTTTTGAACTTTAAATTTATACTATTTAAACTAAACGTGATGCCCTATGAAGCCATTCTGTTGTTGTTTTCCATAAGTCAAATGAGGCAATTTGGATGGTTTATTTGTAGTGCATGCTAGTAATCTCAAAGCTTAGCCATACAGGTAGTCTTCGACTTACAACCACAATAGTACCTAAAATTTCTGTTACTAAGCAAGAAAGTGGTGAATTGAATTTCACCCTGTTATATAACTTTTCTTGACAGAATTGTTAAATGAACCACTACAGTTGTTAATTTAGTAACATGGTTGTTAAGTGAATCTGGCTTCCCCATTGACTTTGCTTGTCAGAAAGTCGCAAAAGGGGATCATGTGACCTCGGGACACTGAAACCGTCATAAATACATGCCAGTTGCCAAGCGTCTGAATTTTGACCACAGGGATGCTGCAACAGTCATACGTGTGAAAAACTGTCATAAGTCATTTTTTTCAGTGCAGCTGAAATTTTGAACAGTCACTAAACAAATAATTAAAAATCAAGGACTGTCTATACAGTGTGCTGTATCTAATACCTAATTTAGACGTTTGGTATAAAAGTCAGCAACTGTATTGTGATTTATTATTTTATTGCTTTAATGCTTTTTCTTGTTTTTATTGATTGTAAGCCTTCTACAGTTGCCTTTAGGCGAGATGGGCAGCATGTAAGTTTAATGATTAAATAAATGATAGAACTGTGAAAGGATTACAAGGATCTAATGCAATCCCTGCATTGTGCAGAAAAACCCAGTAGAGCTGCCTGTCCAACCGTTTTTCAAAAAATGTCCAGGCACAGAAAACCCACAACCCCATTGTTGGGAACTTGTCTTTTGGTAAACAAATCTTACAGTCAATAAGTTTTTCCTTATAATTATACAAAATGTAGATAATCAAATTAAATCTAATACTTTATCTCTGTCATTGACTACCATAGCATTAAATAACCAACCCAATACTTTAATTAGAAAAAGCAACACATCCAGAAATACAGAGCTTGATTATGAGTTTTGTAAAGTCACAAAATAAAACAACAGCTGGATCTGTCCCTATGGTAAAACTAAAATTCAGTCTTACAGTTTCTAACTACACCAAACTGCTCCCTGATCATTTTTAAAAATGCCTTTATTAAACAGAAAAGGAGAAGTAATTTTGAAAAAAGAAAGAAAAGCAATAAATGTTTATTTTCACACACACAGAGTATATGTATCTATGTATGTAGATATAGATAAAGGATATAATTTATGCAGTTGAATAACTGTTATGAAGAACATATACAATATATACACAGAGACACAAACATATATACATACATACACATAAATGTTTATGTATATATAGTGTACAGTATACACACAAACACACACACACACATATATATACACACACACACACATATATACACATATTGTATTATCAATACACGTATGTATATACATATATACACACACATATATATATACAGTGTGGGTGTATTCATCATAACACTAATACAACTGCACAAATTATATCCGTTAATTATATATCTCAAAACATTTGCAATTATTAATTCAAATTCACGTTCTAACATATTTATTATATCACAAACTGATTTTTCAGTACAATTCTTTTAATCTTTGAAATATAATAGAGTCATTCATTTATTCAAATGTAAGATATAGGATTGGAACTGAAATCAACTTACGTTAATGTATCAAAGAGAAATCCTTGGACTTCACTATTCTTATTATCTTCTTCCTCTGTTCTATTTCTTGTAGCTAAATATACATCAGAAGAAAATATGACAACACATTCAATTTGCAAATGATTGTTTTCCCTCCCCAAAATGAGCAAAAAGAAATTATTGACAAGGTTCCCATTAGAAAAAAACTGAAGCCTATGGTTGACGTACATTCCAATTCACATAGCTTTCATCTACAAAAAAAATACCAACAGTACATTATTATATTGATTCTTAATGCCATGACTACTTTTGCCATTTCCCCCCAAAAAGAACTAATGATGTGTGTGTGTCTAGAAAACAAATACTAGATGAATTGCTGACCCAATAACGTATTTTCCATTATCTTCAATAGGGCTATGCAAAAGTTTCCTGCCTCAAAAATCTGGCACATATTTTGTCCTAATATTTATACCACATAGGGAAGAAAAATGTACCTCCAGCCTGAGATTCATCCACTGCTTTGTATTCTGTACTCTTTATTGCAAGTTCCACACCATATCCAGACAAATACATCTTCTCAGTGCTACGTTTCTGGATTAAGCATGCATAGTTAAAAATAAATTGTTATGAAATCATTGCTAAACATTAGGTTTCCAGGGAAGAAATGGGACATTTCTAACACTTAATTAATTGAATCACTATTCAACCCAGGATTCGTTCCCTGTGTACTTAATGCTTCTTGAGAAAGGTACTACATTCCTCTTTTCTGTGAAACAATGATACCCAACCCTTTCATTTATATAGACCAAAATGTCACTGGAAACCTATAGGCCTGAGATCAAGAATGCACAATCAACACAGCATCCACTCATTATTATTATTTGTTGATAGTGAAAACTGACAATATCATCAAAGATTTTAAGATTCTTTAAGCCCTCTTGTGAAGTTCTGTTTATTTAAAAATATATATTTTTATTCAGGCATCATGGTCAATGGGCTTGGGGCCAGGTTATCTGAGGGAACATCTTTATCCAAAGGTTTCTACCCATCTGATTAAATCCAACAGACTGGCTGTGATCCACAGCACTCCCAAAGAGGACCGACTGGCAGGAATTAGAAGAGTTTTTCTGTTGTAGCCATTGCCTTAAGGAATATTCTTCCCTCAGAATTAGAATGGCTTTTCACAAAGCTTTACAAACTTGGCTAAGTACTGTACCTGGGCCTGGGGCTCAGAATGTGTAAGAGGCCCCAATAATATTGGCTTTCAAAATAGTTCATTAATCATCACAGCTGCTGTTTATACTTATTTATTTTGTGTATGTTTTTATTGTTTTAATGTTTTTTAAATGGTTTTAATTGCTTTAGTATTTAAGAATTATAAGCTGCCCAGAATCACCTGATTGAGTTGACAGCTATAGAAATGGAATGAATGAATGAATGAATGAATGAATCAATCAATCAATCAATCAATCAATCAATCAATTAATTTTCAGTATCTTCTGAAGAACACAATTTGGGAATCTAAAAAAAGAATTAAGTAGTAAATGCTGCAACACATTGGAAACTTGAAAGAAATCATTTTATTCTAATGTTAGTTAACAATAACATTTCCACATATACCTACCTTGACAAAATGTCGGAGAATGTAAACAAATTCACTCTTTTGTGCTTTTTCAGATAAGACATTGTGAAATGTGGCAAAATCTTTGGTACCCACTTCAGCATAAAGGATCACGACTAGGGCAGGTTCCTTGAGTACAGGGAATTTATGATCTCCTTTGAACAGATACGGTTTGGGCCTTGGATTAAGAAAAAATAACCTTCCGCTCAGTATGAATTATACTTCAGTGAATGTGCCAAAAAGCGACAACTAGCAAAGTGTAAATCATGCAAAGCTAAAAGTTACCTACACCAAAGTTAGTTTTATTGTGTTGGTGGGGACTACCCTATGATACTTGAACTATAACTAGCTATGGAATAGCATCAACAAAGCAATGAAGCTATTTTATTTATCGTGCAAAATGAAGTCACTATAGATTAATGAATAACATCAACTATAGCTTGATTCATGCTTGGTTGAAAGTCCAATGCTAGAGGAAAAATATTTTTTCTCTTGAACAAAATGTGCCCCCTATCCATGTTGCCTATTTTGCTTGATGAAGAATCATATTATTTTGCACACAAAAATAATATTGTTTCAATGGCCTGGATTTTACTCACTCTCCTTTCCATCTGGTTTAAGCTATCACTGGGTGAAAAATACATGTGCAGTGAGAGGTTAGTATTGGTAAGCTTACTGGTGCAGAGCCAGCCAAAGTCAAGAAAAGACATCTTACCAACTTTTAGAAAGGAAGTAGGCTGCTCTTGGGGAATCAAGAAATGGTATGACTTTGATTAAATCTCAGTGGGCATCATGACTAATGCATATCACTGAGTTTAATGTTCATTTTGCACGAGGTAAGGAGCTTAAAATATATTTATATTTTAAAACAATCATTCAATATAGCTCACTACATTCACCTTGATGCAGCTGTCATCAAAAGCTTCTTAATTTCATTAGTCTTACAGGTGCTTTTCCCATGGATAACCACAAAGGCATTGCAACCTTTTGGGGGTGGCTCAATAGCTGCAATCTAATATTTCAAAAATTACATTCAATGACAATACACTCTCATTTCATATTAAAAATAGTGAAGCCTACTTTGATTAAAACGGTTCATCAATTGCTATTTCATTGTGTTTAAGTGCCAAGTAGATGAGGAGAAAAATAATAAACATATTCAAAACCCAGAAAAGAACAGTATATCAATTTTTCCAGATTCAGTCATCATCCATATCACTAGCCTAGCAAAAGAACAATAAAGAACTTTTAATCAAATAGTTTAACATCCTTCCATAATTGCAGTGCACTTTATAAAGTAAAGTTTAACTTTCAAAACATACTTTCAAAAGCTGATTTTATGAATTGCTGAAACATACTTACAGCTGGTGGATTTCTATCCAGCTGATTATAAATATCATCTTCTTGAATGTCAGCATCTACCCAATAAAGGGTTTTGAACTTTCACACTATAGCGTAAGTATCAACTTAAAATTTGGATCTTCAAAAGCAAATTGGGTAATTCTAAACAATAAAGGATTTTTTTTCTGTGTAGAAGCTCTGAAAAGATATAGTTTCCTACTGTGGAATTAAGCCAAAGCATTGAAAACAAAATTACTCAACACTTGGAAACAAGGGTGCATTTTACAAGGGGAACAATGTCCCAACCAATTGTAAGGGCCAATGGTAAGGGACACTGGAAATTCTAATTCAGCAGTTTCTAGTGACAGCAGTCTCTATTCTTAGTTTTGTAAGATACTCACATGATTCAACTAAAAGGTACTAAACTGCACCCTCCCTCACTCCTCCATAATATATAAGATGAAGAGAACTTGTATTCAGAGTAACATAGGTTCTCCTGGATTATAGAGGCCAATTGGAAATCCATTTCTCATGAACTCTGAATGAAGTCTTGGAGGAAAAGATCATTCAGATGCCTGTTTATTGGCCTATTTCCATTTAAGACTCCTCTTGGCTAAGGATTGGTGCTTACAAGGTAGCCATCAAAGATAAATTAAGGGAACCATTAAAGTAATCTAAACCACATGGCATATATCTGCAAGAGAATTGCTTGCTAAGTGAAGATAGCCAGTGAAAGGAGCTATTTTTTGAAAGTTTCTATTTGAAATGATTCATATGACAATCTGAGAACCGTAACCATACACAGGTTCCTAGCACGAATAGCCAATGTTACACACCTGCTGAAACATCTGAATAGTTGGAGAAAATGCCCGCAAGGAGAGAGAAAATTTCAGAAGATTAATCTGCAAATTTGACAGGAACTGCCCAGCTTTCTTCAGGAGTAAGTCATAATAAGAATGTTCTGAGACTGTATTAAAAAAAGAAAAGAAATATAAGTGAAATATAAAGTATAGTTATATATATATATATATTATATATATTTGTTTTTTAAGGTTTTCACGGGTGTTTATATGTGAGTCTTTGGTCATTCGGGTTTTCTCCCGTGTAAGATTAGAAGTATCATAGCGACGTTTCGATGAAATCACATTCATCATCATCAGGCTTGTGCTTTTAGCTTTGTGCTTCTTAGAGTAATATTATATATATATATATATCAGCAGCTTGACAGCACAGTGTTCAATTTTATAGTTATGGCTTGGGAAGAAGAATGGAAGTAGTCAAGTAAAAAAGCCTGAAGAACAGAGATGGGTATAGCTACCTGATAAAGCCTTTCAGAGAAGCATGAATAAGTGCTTTAAACTGATATTATAAACTTCAAGAATTGCTCCAGAGGGCATGACTTGAAGTGATGGTTAAAACGTAGATTCAAATTAGTTACTGGAAGAACTTTTTTTAAAAAAAATATAACTTTATCAGATTTTAATAATGATAAAAATCTAACAAACTAATATTTAGAATAAAAAAAGAAAAAGAAAGCCAAAAGTGTAAAATTATAAAGAAAGTAGCTTTTGATTTTCTTTGCAATAATTATAAATGTAATTTTACCTCTTATTCTATGGTCACAGAATAACTTTTATTTTTCTATGATCTAATTCTTTCTTATTATCAAAATGGTATATCATAAGTTCATTTTTTGTGTGCTTCATACAAAGTCTTTAAGAGTTTTCCAGTCAGCAATTAAGTTTTGATAGTCTTTTTTTTCTTAATCAAAGATGTCAATTTGGCCATTGCAACAAGTTCCATTGTTTTCATCATCCAGTCCTCCATTGTGGGCAACGTCAAATCTTTCTATCTTTGTTCATATAATAATCTCATTGCAGTTATCTCATATAACAACAAATTTCTAACACTTTAAATCTAAGATTTCTTTCCAACTGTTTATCACTTAGTCACAAATGAAAATAAAATAAAAGTCCAATAAAAGTTAACAAAATATCTAATAACATACATACATGTTCTATGTTGTAGATTCATTTCTATTTAAAACCTAATCCAACTGTCCAGGCCGCAGGTTGGACACATCTCTCCTAGACAATTTCTCCGGTGACATATACCAACAATATAGCATTTTATAAAAAATATCTTTATGATTGTAACAATGTAAATTTGAATCCTTTCAACCACATATTCTACTACAGTCAATTGTACATTGTAACCAAAATTCTTAGCCCACTTTATCATATATTCTTTCACTTCTTCTGTTCCAAATTTTAATGGAGGTTTATACGTTTTAGCAATAACAAGTTATAATTTGCACATAATTCTATTTCAAATTCTTACACTGCTCAAACCCAAAAGTTCTTCTGTTTACTCTAAATCTTTCTAATAACTGTAAATAAGGGAACCAATCCTTTTGCCACCAGAATTTCTCTTGATTTTATTTTACATTCTCCTTGAGAAAATTCTAGTATAATTCTAGTATAGTGTCTCATGATAAGTTAGCCATTTGTAGATGCCTATTATTTCTTATCTATAAAATGCAAAGTTATTTTTGGGCATAACCTGAATTTGTATCTATTTCATAGTCTCAAAACCAGTACCAAATTCTACAAAAAGCTCTTAAATTGTGTATCTCTCTTTAAACTTTTATTCCCACAACCCTCTAACCTTGTTTTATGTCTCTATTCAGAATTTCAAGAACTTAAATACAAAGGAGAGAGACAGTGGGAAAACTTGTCTTATTCTTTTTTTTAATCTTACATGATTTTGTTAGATCTCCATTAACAATAACTTGTACTTTCTGAAATTGACTTCACCCATTTTATAAAATTCTCTTCAAAGTATGTATTTTCCAAAACTTTAAATAGGAAAGTCCAACTGAAGTTGACAAAAACATCTGTGCATCTAAAATAATTAATGCAGCTTGTTTCCATTATGTTGTTGCAAATATTCATCATAGCTCTAACATAGTCCTTTAACTGGCTTTTGGGTAAATACGAACATTGATCTTCATCATGAATAAATTCTTCCAGAATTATTTTCAATCTATTATCCAGAATCATTGTGAACAACTTATAATCATTTTCAATAATGATATTGGTCTGTAATTACTTGTTAAAAGTCAAATTTTGTCCCTCTAAATATTACTGCTATATTAGCCTCTTTCCAAATCTCTTGCATCTTTCCTCCTGTAAAATATTGTTCATCGTAGTTTGTAGAGATCGTAAAAGTTCATCCTCAAAACATTTAAAATGAAAATCTGATAATCCATTTGGTCCAGGTACTTTTCCTAGTTTATCCTTTTTCACTGCTTCAGAAACTTCTCTTATTGTTATAGGTCTGTTCATAATTTGTCTTTGTTTCTCCAAAATCCTTGATAGATTTTGGTTTTACAAATATATTTTGTCCAAAGGAATATAATGTCCTTTATATAAATTAGAATAATACTGATGAAATACTTTTTGCATAGTCACATTATCTATTAATACAAAATCTTCCTCTTGAAGTTTCAGTATCATTTTCTTTTATTTTTCTTAATTTATACATTAACCATTTTCCTGGTTTATTTACAAATTCATTTTTTTATTTCCATTTCTCTTAATGTTAACATCAATAGCTATAAAAGTTTAATTTGTTGGATGATATTTATCTTCTCTGTGAATTTCTTTTTTTGCACTTTTCTTTTTATTTTATCCAAAATAGCCTATGTTTATACTTGCCTCTTCTTTTTAAGTTCAGTATTATGTTGTATAAAATAACTTCTAATATGATCTTTACTTGCATCTCAAGAATTTAAATTATTTTCAAAACATTACTTTAGTCTATTTTAGTCACTATTACTTCTTTATGTAAGAATGAATCATTTAATCTCCAAGTGAAAGAACTAGATTTCTTTTTGTAAACCAAACTCACAGGAGTATGATCAGAGAAAATTTGCTAAAATATCTACTTTAGATATCGTAGTAATCAAGTTCTTTCAAATTCAAATCATGTCTATTATTATAAAGGTTTTATGTCTTTCTGAAAAACGTACTATCTAAAATTATCATTTTCCATTTCCACATATCCACCCACCTGAAAATGTCCATCAAATTAAATAAAAAACAATGTTTAATAATTTGCCTTGGGTTGTTTTAATATTTTTCTGAGCTGTCCAGTTGTGGCGAAATCATTCCAAACCCCCATCAATTTTCATAAGAAAGACCTATTATTTTGTCCATAGGTTGTTCGTAAAAAGTAATTTTATCCTTACTTGAGGCATAGATTCTTAACACCAGTCTTGCCCCCATATATGTCCATTTCCACCCCAACAAATCTATCATGCTTGTCAAACAATATACATTCTGGTTTTAGTTAATATATAAAACAACTCTATTTATACTCTGGTTCCTGCTGAAATAAATTCTTCACCTAATTTTTTATAAATCAATTATTTTTTATCCTTTTTTCTAATATGAGTTTTTATAAGCAAGTTATATCCAGTTTTATTTTTCTTTAATAATAGCTTTTTTTCTCTTTTGTAGAGCAATTACTCCATTGTTATCTGGGAAAACTTCCTGAGTACATGGGTTGTCAGCCAATGGAACATGCTGCTACATGAATTGGTGAGTTCTCATTCACTAGAGCAGTAGTTCTCAACCTTTTCTCCACCACGGACCCCCTTTAAATACCTTTTGTGGCCATGAATCATGGCCATGGACCCCCAAGGCTTAACTCAAGATTTAAATCATAACATTTAACAAAACATAATATTTCTTCATAGACACCTCATGACAAACCCACCCCAGGGTTCGCGGATCTGTGGTTGAGAACCATTGCAGTAGAATACTTCAACCAGAAGCTTGGATGATCATCCGTTAAAGATATTCTAGTAGATCCGCACTAAACAGGGAGCTGGGCTTTTTCAACTCTATGTTTCTATGTGGTTGAGCCTAAGGCAGATATGAAATCCCTTTGTATAACTTCTACAATTACTTTTATTGTTTTCATTATTTTGCTATTTGCCTGGTTCTCCAAGATATTTCAAAAACTGTTCACATTATAGGGAATTGTAATCCTCTCACAGAACCTGGATTATTAAGCAGATTAAAAATAGCAAAATAAATTAATCACTTTGTCAAATAAAAAAACTATAATGTGGAGGAAAAGACAACATAAAAGTACACATGTAAAAGTGAAAAACCACAAGGTGGTATTGATGTCAGGATAAACCGAAGGAAACAAAACAGGAATTTTGTTTCCACAAAGTGATTATGGACATGACTCTCTTTTCACAAATAGCAATTACAATTCCAAACCTGACTGAACACCTGGGCAGGTCCTGAAGGACTAACAATTAACCTGAAAGCACCCAGCCTCACGACAATTGAAACATTAAATTACTGTTGCTTTATTGAATAAAGCATTTTGAACATGTAACAATTTGATATGGGGATGGGAGAATATCTAGTCTAGGAGACACTTTATGTCTAAAGTTCACCCACTACATCTGGCTGTTCTTCCTTTGACTTGACTTTAGATACTGAAAAAAATGTAGAGTCCTAGGAAATGAAAGGAGTTGTGAGGAAATTTAGTTTCTTGCCTACTAGCTTTAGATACGTGTGATATAAATCTCCCTTGAATCAATGAACATGCTCATGTAGTTTTTTGGCAATAATACAGAAGTGGTTGTATTACCTTCTTCCTTTCTTGAGTACCCAATCTAGTCTACAGCCCTAACGCTCCCCTATATTCTCCCATCTTCGTATTAACTGTGTCTGACTTTGCTTAGTTTTTTCAGCATCAGCCAAGATCAGCTTGGTTTTGCTACCTTTGTGACTCCCAATATGTAATCTATTCTAATCCAATTAATACTGGAAAGATTCCATTGGATCTAGAAATGGAGGTAAGTAGAGAACCCTAGAACAGTGATGGCGAACCTTTTAGAGACTGAGTGTCCAAAACCCGCCCCTGCCTGCCCCCACTCTGCCCCACCCCCATCCTGCCCCCGCCCCATCCCACCCTCTGCCCTGCCTACTCGCAGGGCCATCCACCGCCTCCATGGCCCGCCACAGCAGATCGCCCAGTGGCCCAGCAGCGCCATGACAGCCATGTCCTCCGCCTGTACCCCGCAGCATCATCTGCACGCAATGGGGTGCGGAGGCAGAGTCTTGCCAGGCTGCCATATCCTTGGCTGCTCTGCTCCACACAGGCCGCACTTGGGGGCGACTTTCCTCCAGGGGTGCTGCTGCTGGTGGTGAGGATCGGGCCGCAGGGGAGGCGGGGCTGGGGCAACGGCATGTGTGCCCACAGAGAGGGCTCTGAGTGTCGCCTGTGGCATGCGTGCCATAGGTTCGCCACCACTGCCCTAGGACATGTGCTGAGCATTACCTTTATACTGCCTCTGGGAGCTGATAATTTGTTACAGGTTGGCTGAATATGATTTTGAATCTGATAACAACTGAGATTAAAAAAAAATACCTTTACAACTTTATAAATAGAAATATTTTTTCCTAACATTCAAGCCAATCCATAATTACATGAATGGATAATTAGGAGCCAATCTGATCACAATCAGCATTATTAAAAGAGTCTGCAACATTCTGTACATTCGACCATAATTCTCACTTTTGATTCTCATAGCAAAGCTAATTTTTTGCCTCTAAAGAAAGAGTTAATTTTTTTATAACTTTACATTAATAATTTTTCAGCCATCAATAAATTTGACTAAACCTCTCAGTTCAACCCAGTATCTGGGATTGACTAAATGCAAAACACAGCAAGGTAAATCTGTCACAAAACCTAGTCAGTTCTGGCATTCAGGGACAGCAAAATAGTTTGGTTAAAGATGTTCATATAGCTCAAGAGAGGAAGGATCCCCCCCCCAAAAAAAAATTGGCCAGCCAAGTGCCAGCAATCAGAGATGAGAAGTGACAGGAACAGCAAATAACTAATGAAAAAATTACAGGGAATAAAAAGCCATCTGAATGCCATACAAAGAGAGTGGGAACAATCCCCTTGGAATTTAAGAAATAAAATGACAACCCCTAAAATAAGTATGTAAAAGTGAAAAACAGCATGAGTGATTTTGAAAAAAAAAATCACTCATTTATTCATTCATTTATATACTCCCAGTTCCAAGATTCTGAAAGTTTAACAAAGATGCCGTAAAATCAAGATCAATAAAAATTAGAAAAACCAGAGCTTCACTATTAAAAAAATCAACACATACATACACAAAAAAAGACCTACCTGAACAAAATAATCTGTACTGCTTAGTGGAAACCATATAATGATTTACCTAGGCAAGCCTCCAGAGGCATGGTTTGGCACAGTACCATATATCTTATAATGTTCTACATGTTATTTTGTATATTCACTGATACAGAATTTGAGAGCAATTTATAAGTTATTTTTTCCTAAGGCAACTTCCATATAGAGGATGAGTACAGTCGTTCCCAAATGGTAGCCACAGCAATTGTTGCTACTCAGAGAAATAAATGTACAAGCACATATGTCCCAATTCACACTAAGGTTCATCATTTGCAAGGGGAAAATAAGCACTGCTATTTGCCACTCTTAGACTGGCCAAAGAAACTCAGTCATGCATTCATTTAGCAGATCTATACTACAAATGTGCCCAAGTCTGATATATTGGTTAATGTTTTAGATGGGAACTGATGAAGCCAAGTTCATGCTCCCCTCTCCCTCAGCTACAGAAATTAAGTGAGTAACTTTGGGCTAGTCCTTCTCCAATTTTCAAACAGAGGCAATGTCAGCTTTCCCAGCTTGGTCAGTTAGAGAAGAAAGACTCTCAAATCCATTGTTAATGAAAGTACACTTTACTAAAGCCAAGTGGTTACAGAGTAGCAAAGCCAGATCTGAAGTTTCATGCCCAAAGCATCTGGTTAACTTTTCCCTTCTCCCCACCTTTCCCCTGGTTATCTTAAATTATCCAATTACATTCAAACAGATTGTTTTGGTAATAGTCCTTGGCTTGGTGGGCTGGACGGCGTCATATTCCATTCCATGACCTTGGAATGGCCAGCAGCTCCCACGGGACAGCACAAAGAATAGTTCTGATTCCCCTCATCCCAGCTCCCCTCTACCTCCCCACAGCTCCCTCCCCCCACTGCTTATGATAAGCTGGCATCTGGCGAAGCATGGCTGGTGTAGCAGGATGGCAGCCCTGACAGACATTGGTACAGAGATAAAATTCATCTTCAACCAATGTTTTGAAATGTTTCCTTTCTATACAACCTTTGGATTGGCAAAACTTAAAATGAAACTAGAAAAAAGAAGCAGTGTTCTCATGTTGCCTCAGAATTCTTCCTGTACCTATAGAGGTTTTCTATAACTGAGGAACATTTATTTTCAAATGTACTTTAATTTAGTTTTGTTCTTTGTAAAAATCTGTCTTTTAACATTTGAGTTAGATAATAAAGGCCTTAATTTTACAAGCCCTAGTATTATACTATCTTCATCAGAAGATAGTATATGGTTTTTACATAAATAGCAACCCCAAAGCATGAATTGTGTATTGGAACAAATCCATGAGGCAGAGTCGTTAAAGGATAATGTTCAAGTGAGTTGCCCTGGATTGAACAAGAATTTAAGTGACTACATGACCTCCAAAGTTCCTTCCAACTCTGTTATTCTATGTTCCATATTGAAATACAGTTTTAAATTATATAGCTATTCACATAAAGATTTGACAATGTATACTGCTTACCTCCTTTTTGATATATTGTTAGTTCTTTCACCGTTTCCAAAAACTGCCAGAATTTCTCATTGCTTTCTTCTGCAATGAATTCACTGTTAAAATGTATATTAAAAAAATTAATTAGCTCAGAACAGATATTTTTTTTTAAAAAATTCTAAATATTTGTAAGAATGCACAGCTGGTCCTTGACATATGACTGGTCACTTAACAACTATGTGAAGTCAATGACAGACACCCCCCCAAAGGTACTTACTACCTGGTTCCGAAGTTTTGACAGCTGCCCCCCTGCAGTCATGTGACCACATTCTGGGCACTTGGCTATCAGCTCACATTTATGGCTGTTTGCAATATCTCATGGTCACATGATTGCAATTTATTTTTTTTGTCAAAAACTGGCTGTTACTTTAGTTTTCTGCAAAATTGTTCCATATCAAACAATGCGGCATTCATTTAACAATTACCACAAAAAAGTTACAAAATCTAATCTGGTCACATGAGGATCCACTTTATGACCATCACGACATATGACTGTAACGGGCAGGTTTCATTACGGTTGTATGTCGATGACTACATACTGTATAGTCTACCATTGATTTTGAAAGAAAAAAATAAAATGTTTATCCTGTAAGTCAAAATACTTCATTAAATTTTCAAAATTCAAAATACTTTACAACTGCCTGTATATAGCTTTGCTTAGAATGGTTCCTATAGCATAGACTAATAATTCAAGTCAAAGTGCTGAAAAAAGATATATGTAACTGTACTATACTGAAGTCAAAAGAACTTAAGGTGGTCAGTAGGTTTATGATCCCATTAATGCATCTTGATAGTTTTCAGTAATTTCAGTTCTACTTGAAATTAATGGCTATATGAGAAAACATGCTTAGGATTGTTCTGCAAAGATCTCTATTAGGGTCTTTATAGAGGTATAATTATTGAGTCTAATAATATTCACCCTCATAAAAATAATTCAGAATCATAGCATTCAGCTGGCCGAGAACCCATTAGACAAGTAATATAAACTGGGCTAATGAATACCACAATATGAGAAGTATGGAAGCTCTACATTCCTTCCCATATACAATATTCATAACTTTTGAGACTACTGAATATAGACTACAAACAGAGACTTGGAGTCAAAGTCTGTACATTTTGCATGTACAGAGATTTCACTGGATGTTACTTAGATAAAATCCATAAGATAACATTTTAATTCACATAATATTTTTTCTACCCCTAATACCTATTCCTGCCTTTCACTGTTCAATGTATATTAATAATATAAACATCTTTGCATAGAATTAATTGGCTCACACACAGCCATAATGTAAATTATTTGACTTTGACTCAACATCTTGTATGAATTTGGCTAATTGCAATTTATTCATTATACTTTGAATAATAAATAGCTGATGAATGTAATTTGTATATCTAGCCAACAATTGGTCATACTAACACAATATGTCTCAATCTTGCACTATTTATTTCAGTGATTAACTTATTCAGTATCCAGCCCAGAAGTGGATGGGGATCTGTAATCCTTCAAATATGGCTGAATTATAGTTTTTGGCATCAATCATAATTACCTATATTAGCTGATAAAAAGGTTCTCTCATTTCTCCTGTCTACCCTACATTAATAGTGCAAAATCAAAAATTAAGTGATCAACTGGATTATTTATTTTACTGAAAATACAGCAACTTATGCATTATTAACAGAAGCAAACATTTAGCCAACATCAAAGTTTTCAAAAGAATCTCAGAGGACAGCTAGCTGACTTGTTTATTGCTAAGACATAGTTTGCATCTATTTTGAGGGCAGTGGAAGGAACAACCAGCTGCCAAACTGTACACCACTGATTGCTAGGCAATACATCATCTGAGCACTAGAGAATATTTCTTAACTATACAATATCAAGTATTTTTTCACTCTTCATGGCAGGAGTAGGATTATTTTACACATGGTTGAATATATAAACATGTGCGTGCACACCTATGTTTATGTAAAGTAGCAATAGACAAAGACTGAAACATCATGTAAAGAACCAACATCAAAGCACCAACTTTTGATATATATGTGTTGAAAAATGAAGGGTTTTTTTGCTAGCATTCTGTTGCCTTATAATGCCTTCTACACATCTGTTATATTATAATTTCTAGTCAACATATCTGTTCATTGTACTGGCTAAGATTTCTGGGAGTTCATCATATCCAGAGAACATTACTAGAAAAGAAGTCCTAAGATATTGGAATCAGATTCATGGGACAAGACATCTACAGCAACAGGGGGTTTCATTAAAAAGATGAAACATATATTACGATGCCATGACACAAGCTCTATGACTTACGTACTTGCATGTCACAATACAAGTACAATATAGGCACATTTGGGTTATATTGTTGTTACATGTTTCATCATTTGCCTTTTTTCCCTCACTCAGTAGATACCATGTCACAGGATCATTTGCATTCCACAAATATTGTCAATTTCCCTCCATTATAGGACCTGTTAAAACAACGCCCAGTCACCACTTTACTGTCTTTTCTTTTTGGAAATAGCAAAATGGATATTAAAATAAGCATACTTAATGAAGGTTGAAAATAGAAAAACTTGGAAATTAATAATCTATAGTATTTAATTAGCAGTTTGCAACTTCAAACCTCTTATTTTGAAATAGTCTTCCTAAAATTTCAATCTCTGGGATATATCCAGGACTAGGTCCCAAAAACAGGCATACGGTACAACACATATAGATGTCTGCTGACAAACAATGCAATGTATTTTTTTTTTATTTCACTTCTCCCCCAAGTAGCTCAAGAATGATCTTACAAGAGACCTACTGAAATGGGTTGGAATGAAAGTAATTATATCTAAGCATCCAGTGAATTTCCATCATCAAATGTAATCCAAAAGCGAGATCTTAATGCACTCTCTCCTTGCTTGCTCAATCTTGTGTTTTGTTAGGATAGTTGCAGAAGGTGTTTAATCCATGTTGTGTAATGATTAACACTAGATTTGGGCAAGGGACCCACATTGGAGTTTCTACTGTAATTATGGAGTCATTGTATATTTTCTGTCAGTCTCCCTCAGCCTGATCTACCTCATGAGGTTGCTGCAGGGATAGACTGGGAAGAGACCCATGGAGGGAAACAGGGTGGTCATCACACGTTTTGATGTCTTTGTCTAAATGATGTGAATAATGTGCTGTATGTCCCTTGTGTCATGATGCAACTGATGAAAACTACCCAGTTTGCATGATGTCATTGTATCTTGTGGGTGGTTGCTAATGGGAAGACCCATGTAAGGGTTCTTGAGCTCTCCAGACAAAAAGTGAGCTAATACAGGTAGTCCTCGACTTACAACCACAATTAAGTCCAAATTTCCATTATTGAGCAAGACAGTTCTAGGTGAGTTTTGTCCCATTTTACAATCTTTCTTGCCACAGTTGTTAAGCGAGTCGCTGCGGTTGTTAAGTTAGTAACACAGTTGTTAAGTGAGTCCCGCTTCCCCATTGACTTTGCTCGTCAGAAGGTTGCAAAAGGTGACCACATGACCCCAGGACACTACAACTGTCATAAATACATGCCAATTGTCAAGCATCCGAATTCGGACCACAGGATCAGAGAGATAACTGCAAAACTGTCTCAAGTCACTTTTTTCAGTGTCACTGCAACTTGGAATGGTTTCACGACCATAAACAAATGGTTGCAAGTCGAGGAGTACCTGTAATGCAGCAATAAACATCCTGCATCTCAGCTTTTGAGGTCTACAAGCTTCTTCGTCCATTCACACACAAGGCACTCCAAAACCTAGCATCAACACACATCTGGAAGGCACTCGCCTAGAGAAGGTTGTGCAAGGACTTCCACACGCCCCTCTAACTTGCGCCGCTGGACTAACTCTTTCCTCGCCTCCTCGTTTTTTTTCTACCAATTTGGGGCAGAGGGCAGGCGGCGCTTAGAGTGCCCCGGGCCACCCCCGCCCGAAGCCCACCGTGGAGGGAGCTTTCCTCGGGAAGAGGGCACGGGGACAGCCTCTGCTTTCCCGGGCATGCTTTCCTTCTCCTCCTCCTCCTCCTCCTCCACGCACGCAACGCACGCACCTGGCCTCCAGAAGCAACGGGGTCGCCGGCCACTTGGCCGCCAGCCGGGCAGTGACCGCCTTGCGCGGGGCGCTTTGGGCGCCTCGCGGCCCTACACTAAGGAAGAGCATCCCGGCCACAAAAAGCGGCACCAGCCCGGCCACCATCCTGTCGAGTTTTGCCTTTAAAAAAAAAAAAAAGGAATCGCCCGAAGCGGCTGCCACGCAAAGCTTCAGTCCAGTCTCTATCTCGCGAGCCAATCCCTTTGCTCATTCCCGGCTTTCCCGCCCCCTTTGGTCCAGCCTTCGGGTCTCGCGGTTCCCATTGGACCTTTCCTTGGACCAATCGGCAACGAACGCAACAGCGGCGGCCCGGGGAGGCCTACAGAGGGGAGGGACCTGAAGGGCAGACGGGGCGGGGGGGGCGCGCTCCTACCCGGGATTTACGCGCGCGCTTTAAGTCAGAAGGCGATCGCGGCTGCGAAATTGTGTGCAGAGATTGACTTGCTGTTTCCTTCCCTTCCTTCTTTGCAATCCTCATTGCTTTTCCCAGACTCTCTCAAGTAAATGGCTAACCTGCTCTTTCATTACATCAAGCCTGAGTGAACCCCAAGGATTCATCAGGTGTGGATAATGTACAACTCAAATGACTTTTTAAAGCAGTGGTTCTCAACCTGTGGGTCGGGACCCCATTTGGGGTCGATCGACCATTTCACGGGGTTGCCAAGCAAGGCTGTCTGCCATTTTTTTTGTCTGCCATTTTTTTCCCCTTTTCCGGCGGGTGCCTTACCTCCCTTGGGCTAGGCCAGCTGGTGGTCGGCCTGCTCCGTCTCTGCCGCTTGCCAGCTATGCCTTGGCTGGCGCAGGGGGCGGAGCCACGCATGCGTGGCGCTCCCGGGCAGGGAAAGTCCTCGACTTACGACCGGTTGGGTAGTCCTCGGCCTACGACCGGTTTAGTCCTCAACTTACGACCGGTTTAGTCCTCGACTTACAACCAGTTGGGGTTGCGGCATTAAAAAGGTTGAGAACCACTGTTTTAAAGAGTCCCTTAAATATATGATCCGGAGTGACAGACCCTGCCTCGGCCCCTATATTATGGGGTACCCCAGGTTTCTCCGCTCCTATTTAACATCTATCTATATAGGTTAGGTTGATTTAAAAAATTGATAGCACAGAGAAATGATTCTGCTGAACAAGAGGGTATCCCTTTTAAGAGCTGAGATTTACTATACAGAATACAGAATAACAGAGTTCGAAGGGACCTTGGAAGTCTTCTAATCTAATCCAACCCCCAGCTTGACCAGGAGACCCTATATTTCCACTTCATCCCGAAGGAGTTGCTCACCTTGATCCTACGTGTCTTGGTATTTGCTATAACATAAGGAACTACTGTAAAATCTACAGGTAGAAAAAGATAAAGTTTTCCAGGATGTGCCTCTTATTACCACAGTCTCATTATTATCAGTGTTTAGGACTTTTTATAATAATTGATGAATAATAGAAACGTTTCAATGGGACAAGTATTACCACAATTCAAAATTCCTTTGATTTAAAAAGGATAGGGCTTTTTAAATCAAAAGCTGCAGTCCTGTGTATTTTTATTGAGCATATAAATATTTACAATATTTCAGTTGGACCTTCTGCTAAGGGACAGTGATAGCACTTCATAGCACATCAGATCCCTAGCTCAAACACCACAATTGTTGCCTGTTATCAGCTTACTGTATAATGATGGAGAATCACAAGGTTCAGTCCATGTATATTCTGAGAACTGCAGGGGCTTGTCTAAGCAGTGTCCAAGAATCAGACAAAATTGAACAGGAGGGAAAAAAAAAAAAAGGATGTGTATCTATTTAGAGTTTGTTTTCTAAATCCCCAATCTACCAAGTTAACGTTTTTAATTTAGTTTGAATAAATTACTGGTACTCAGTTTGCTTTGCTTTTATTTACTATTTCTATAACTGAAAACAGATTGTAAAAAAAAATAATGTTTATTTTTATGTAGCTTGAAGGAATTATTTAGAATATAGGACACAAAACAGAAATTAAATTATGGCATTGTTTGAATAGTAGCAGAATAAAAATACTTGGGTTTTTTTTTTTAAAGTATTAAGAATACTGTAGTAGTTGATGTGGTGGTATTTTTAGCAAGCATCTGTCTCATCTCTTCCTTCTTTTCCTCCTTCTGTTTGTTGAATGAAGGAGGAAAAACTGAAAATGAGAACATTCTGTTCCAAAGAATGTCTCTAGGCCCACTGTTTGGGCTCTTAAATCTCCTAAAGAGGGGAAACAAGCTAGCCAATAAAAGGAATATGAATTATTTAGCATCTGGGAGAGATTCTGCCAGAAGAAACACGATGTGCTTGACGTGGCTAAGATTTGGATAAAAACACTGTCTCGTGTTTAAAAGGATATAGAAAAAGAAGGTACAGTATACCTCTGAAAGTTGACCACTCAAGGGACTGAAGGAAATTGGTCAACATAGAGAGCTGCACTGGCTGCCGGTGGCCTTCCGGGTGCGCTTCAAGGTGTTAGTAACAACTTTTAAAGCGCTCCATGGCAATGGACCTAGGTATTTGCAAGACCGCCTCCTACCAAATACCTCCCTTCAGCCAGTCCGCTCCCACAGAGAGGGCCTCCTTAGAGTGCCGTCGGCCAGACAATGCCGGCTGGCGACCCCCAGGGGGAGAGCCTTCTCTGTGGCAGCTCCTGCCCTCTGGAATGACCTACCCCCCCGACCTACGTACAGTTGCGGACCTGCGCCTTTTTCGCCGAACCCTGAAGGCCCATCTATTCCGTGCGGCCGGCCTGGCGTAGCTTGATTATGTTTCAGTGGGGGGTTTTTTACGGGTGTGTTTTTAGAACAGGCCCGTTATTTAATTCGATTTTAAAACAAACTATTTATTACCGTGGTTTTTAGTATCGCCTGTTCACCGCCCTGAGTCCCGCAAGGGAGATAGGGCAGTATATAAATTTAATAAATAAATAAATAAAATAAACATAAGGAACAACTGCTTCTGCAGACAGACCATAGTTTGCATTCTAGCAATGACCCACTGCAGAAGCTGGGCTCAATAATGCATTTTGAATGTTTTGATTAGGCTTTGGTTGAGAAGTTGAATTTTTGATGTAGTGTTTGGAGGGAAAAAAATTCAGTTTCATGTTTGTAAGATGATTCACTTGGGGATGGCTAGGACAATTGTCCACTACAAGGAGAATGGACCATTTTTTTCTTCATAAGAGGTCAATACCTCTTATCTACTCCTCAAATAGGGCACCAGTCATCCATGCAGATTTGTTAGATTTCCAGATGACAGGAAGGTCTTTGGCTGCAGGTTCTTGGGCCCGCTCCTCTTTAACATGTTCATAAATGATTTAGACAAGGGGATAGAAGGGGAACTCATTGTATTTACCAATGACATCAAGCTGGGGGGGGGGGGAATTACTAACACTTTGGAAGATCGACTCAAGAATCAGAAGGATCTTGATAAACTTTAAGCATCAGGCCTTATCCAACAAGATGTAGTTTGGTAATGAGAAAAGGAAAGTCCTGCGCTTAGGCAGGAAAAACAAATGCATAGATACAAATTAGGTGGTACCTGGCTCAACAGTAGTAAATGTGAGAAAATCTAGGTGTCCTAGTGGACCATCACTTTAAATATGAGGCAGCATTGTGCTGCAGCTGCCAAAGAAGCCAATGCAGTCCTGGGCTGCATCAACAGAAGGATAGCATCAAGATCACAAAAAGTGATAATACAGTTTTATACTGCATTAGTGAAGGCACACTTGGAATATTGTACACATTTCTGGTCACCGTGATACAAAAAAGATGCTAAGACCCTAGAAAGTGTTGATAAAGAGGCTGGAGGCTAAATTGTATGATGAATGGTTGAAGGAGTTAGGTATGTGTAGCCTATTGAAGAGAAGGATTAGAAGGGACATGATAACTGATTTCCAGTACTTGAGGGGCTGTCACAGAGAAGAGGGGACCACAAGCACTAGAGGGCAGAAGATGTTTAGGATGGAAGCTTATGGAAGACAGATTCAACATGGAATTAAGGAGAAATTTTCTGATAGTGAGAACAATTAATAAATGGAATATCTTACCTCCTAGAATTGTGGGTGCTCCATCACTGGAGGCTTTCAAAAATAGACTGGACAAACTATTTCACCAGGATGACATAAGATCTCCTGCCTTGAGCAGGAGGTGGACTAGAAGAATCCCAAGGTCCCTTCCAGCCATATGATTCTATGTTCTATATAATACTGTATACTTTCAGAGATTTATAAAATGTGATCAAATTAAGAACAATGGCTTTAACATTTTGTTATGCTTGTAAAGATAACAAAGAAGGGGGCTTTGTGTTTAAATAATGTAAGGTCCTAGTCCCTTACTTAAACATGAGATATCATATCAATCTAATCAGATAATCCAAGCGGAGACTTCTTGATCAAGCAGCACTTTATTTGATCAAATTAAGCAGCTAGGTGGCCAACAATCTGGAACGCTGGCAGAGTTATGTCCAGAAGTGCCACACCTTAGAAAGTTGGTACCATTGCTTTATAAACTTTGTTAGCCAATAAAAATCAGACCACAGAGCCATTACATCATAAAAAGACATCAATCATTCCTGTACACTCCCTTCAGTATATCACATCCATGTACATGTTTCCCAAGCTTGTGTGAAATTTCTCTGGTGCAAAAGCTGATTACAAAAAGCAAGAAAGCAACAGTTAGACTAAACAATTTCCCTTTGTTCCAGAGACCTTCGTTTATAAACCATATCAAACATTTTTTTTGTGCTGGAAATCCCCCCCTCCCTTCCCCAATTCTACGATATAGTCATACCATTTTTGCATAGAAGACCAGAGCGTGGCAAGACCTCTCAGAATAACGAGGAACTTAGGTGCCGTACATTTGATGTGGCAACTGAAGAGAGATATACATTTGCAGAAAATCGTGGCTTCAGTTTTGCATTCTCCATCACACCAAAGTCAGCGTCCAGAATAATTTTATCCAATGTTACAAATTAATTCATCAATGAATTAATCAATTGCTTAATAGGTAGCTGAGGTTAACCAGGGCATTTTGTAGTCCAAAGTATAAGCAGCAAATGTTAGGCTGTAAAAATTGTGATTTACAATAATAAATTTTTGCATCCTTTCT